GTGTGAATGTATGAATGTGAATGTGTGTGTGAGGGTGTGTGTGTATGAATGTGTGTGTGAGTGTGTGTGAAAGTGTGAGTGTATGTGTGTGTATGAATGTGTGAGTGTGTGTGTGTAATTACATAAATATGTCTATTTCCCCCACTTTCATTCAGAAAGGCTCATATTCACGGAAGCATTGCGAAATATCACAATGAGCATATTTTCCCCTAGGCCACTGGTCGGCAAACTTAGTCAACAGAGCAGGACAACAATTGAAATTTCCTTTGAGAGCCAAATTTTTAAAACTTAAACTTCTGCTGAAACCGGTTTTGCCCAGTGGTTAGAGCGTCAGCCTGCAGACTGAGGGGTCCCAGGTTCGATTCCAGTCGGGGGCATATACCTTGGTTGTGGGGGGTGTGCAGGAAGCAGCTGGTCGATGTTTCTCTCATCAATGTTTCTAGCTCTCTGTCCCTCTCCCTTCCTCTCTGTGGAAAATCAATTTAAAAAAAACACACAAACTTCTTCTAATGCCACTTCTTCAGAATAGACTCGCCCAGGCCGAGTATTTTGTGGAGGAGCCACACTCAAGGGGCCAAAGAGCCACATGTGGCTCGAGAGCCAGTTTGCCGACCATGGCTGTAGGCCAACGCTCCATCCACTGAGCCAGACTGACGGGGGCAGAAGAGAATGAGGGGCCCAGGGCGGCGTGGGGCCAGGCATCCAGGCTGAGGGAGAGCAGGAGCTCCTGGACGCAGGCTCGGTGGCCAGTGCTCAGGGAGGGCGGGCGGCTGGCCGTAGTCTGCGGGGCCCGGGCAGCTGAGCGGGGCCGGGGCGGCCTGGCGGGTTCCGGGCGGCCGGGCGGGTTCGGGGCGGCCGGGCGGGTTCGGGGCGGCCTGGCGGGTTCCGGGCGGCCGGGCAGGGTGGGGGGACCGAGCAGGTTCCTGGTGGCCGTGCGGGTTCGGGGCGGCTGGCCAGAGTCTGCGGGGCCGGGGCAGCTGAGCGTGGCCGGGGCGGCCTGGCGGGTTCCGGGTGGCCGTGCGGGTTCGGGGCGGCCGGGCGGGGTGGGGGGACCGAGCGGGTTCCTGGTGGCCGTGCGGGTTCGGGGCGGCCTGGCGGGTTCCGGGCGGCTGGCCGGAGTCTGTGGGGCCGGGCAGCTGAGCGGGGCCGGGGGTGGAAGCGGCTCTGGGAGCGAAGGGAAGGGACCGGCAGCCGGCGCGTCCTGCTGGCCTTCAGACCCTCCCGGTCGTGGTTAACACGTGCAGTTTGGAGTCAGTGTTGACTCTGAGTTTAAGTTCCATCGCCAGGCCCGGGCAGCGAAGGTCGCTCTTCCCGTCGGGGGAAGCAGGGTCACGGCTGGCTGAGTGCCTGCGCATTTTATGTTGCAAACCGGGGGGAACGGAGGGCCTGGCCCGTGTGGCTCAGTGGCTACAGCGTCGGCCTGCGGGCTGAAGGGTTCCAGGTTCGATCCGGTCAGGGGCATGAACCTTGGTTGCGGTCACATCCCCGGTGGGGGGTGTGCAGGAGGCAGCTGCTCGATGTTTCTCTCTCATCGATGTTTCTGACCCTCTATCCCTCTCCCTCTCTGTAAAAAGTAAATAAAATATTTTGGGGGGGGGAACTTGGCCATGAGGTACGGTGGGCACAGGGGGGTCTCAGCCATCCTCTGCGCCCCCGCCGAGCCCCTCCCTTCACGGCCCAGCCCCCGGCTGCCAGCAGCCCCACTCCCGCTGCTGCGGCTCCCATGGCTGATGGCCCTGCCCCGCTTGCACCCCCTGATGGCGCGGAGCGATAGGGCTGGTGCCAGTGCGGATGTGAGCGGCGGCGCAGTCAGTGGGGGTGGGCAGCAGCTGCTGACTTGGTCGCCCCTCAGGAGCAGGAGGTGGAGAAGCCCTAGGGGTGACGGGCCCCCGCTCGCACTGCTGACGATGCTCACCATGTTCCGTGCTGCCATGTTACACATGCACCCCCTGGGGGGCATGCAATCATAGCAACTGGCTGTTCAGTTGTTGGGTTGTTCTGCTGTTCAGTCTATTTGCATATTAGGTTTTGTGTGTGTGTGTGTAAAACGTTATTTCCTTTTTTACAAAATTAATTTCAGAGAGGAAGGAAGAGGGCGACAGAACATCCATGGTGAGAGAGAATCACTGATGGGCTGCCTCCTGCACGCCCCCCACTGGGTGGAGCTGGCAGCCGCTGGGCTGGTGACCATGTTTTGACTGGAGATGCCGGTGGCGACACCTTCCAGAGTGCAAATGCTGAGCCGGCGAGACCGTCCCGGTGAGACCCGCACACCCGGTGAGACAGACTGTCCCTGGAAGGCCCGCACACCCGGCGAGACCCGCACACCCGGGGAGACCGTCCCTGCAAGGCCCGCACACCCGGTGAGACAGACCGTCCCTGCGAGACCCACACACCCGGTGAGACCCTCACACCCAGTGAGACCGTCCCTGCGAGACCCACACACCCGGTGAGACCCTCACACCCAGTGAGACCGTCCCTGCGAGACCCACACACCCGGTGAGACCCTCACACCCAGTGAGACCGTCCCTGTGAGACCCGCACACCCAGTGAGACCCGCACACCCGGTGAGACCCGCACACCTGGTGAGACAGACCGTCCCTGCGAGACCCGCACACCCGGTGAGACCCGCACACCCGGTGAGACCCGCACACCCGGGGAGACCCGCACACCCAGTGAGACCCGCACACCTGGTGAGACAGACCGTCCCTGCGAGACCCGCACACCCGGTGAGACCGTCCCTGTGAGACCCGCACACCCGGTGAGACCGTCCCTGTGAGACCCGCACACCCGGTGAGACTGTCCCGGTGAGACCCGCATACCCGGCGAGACCGTCCCTGTGAGACCCGCACACCCGGCGAGACCCGCACACCCGGCGAGACCCGCACACCCGGTGAGACCCGCACACCCGGTGAGACCCGCACACCCGGTGAGACCCGCACACCCGGGGAGACCCGCACACCCGGTGAGACCCGCACACCCGGGGAGACCCGCACACCCAGTGAGACCGTCCCTGTGAGACCCGCACACCCGGCGAGACAGACCGTCCCTGCGAGACCCGCACACCCGGTGAGACCCACACACCCTGCGAGACCCGCACACCCGGTGAGACCCACACACCCGGTGAGACCCACACACCCGGCGAGACCCGCACACCCGGCGAGACCCGCACACCCGGGGAGACCGTCCCTGTGAGACCCGCACACCCGGTGAGACCGTCCCTGTGAGACCCGCACACCCGGCGAGACCCGCACACCCGGCGAGACCCGCACACCCGGCGAGACCCGCACACCCAGGGAGACCCGCACACCCGGCGAGACCCGCACACCCGGCGAGACCCGCACACCCGGGGAGACCCGCACACCCGGGGAGACCCGCACACCCGGTGAGACCCGCACACCCGGTGAGACCCGCACACCCGGGGAGACCCGCACACCCAGTGAGACCGTCCCTGTGAGACCCGCACACCCGGCGAGACAGACCGTCCCTGCGAGACCCGCACACCCGGTGAGACCCACACACCCTGCGAGACCCGCACACCCGGTGAGACCCACACACCCGGTGAGACCCACACACCCGGCGAGACCCGCACACCCGGCGAGACCCGCACACCCGGCGAGACCCGCACACCCGGCGAGACCCGCACACCCGGGGAGACCCGCACACCCGGCGAGACCCGCACACCCGGCGAGACCCGCACACCCGGGGAGACCGTCCCTGTGAGACCCGCACACCCGGTGAGACCGTCCCTGTGAGACCCGCACACCCGGTGAGACCGTCCCTGTGAGACCCGCACACCCGGGGAGACCGTCCCTGTGAGACCCGCACACCCGGTGAGACCGTCCCTGTGAGACCCGCACACCCGGCGAGACCCGCACACCCGGCGAGACCCGCACACCCGGCGAGACCCGCACACCCGGCGAGACCCGCACACCCGGGGAGACCTGCACACCCGGTGAGACCCGCACACCCGGTGAGACGTCCTGGTGAGACCCGCACACCCGGCGAGACCCGCACACCCGGCGAGACCCGCACACCCGGGGAGACCGTCCCTGTGAGACCCGCACACCCGGTGAGACCGTCCCTGTGAGACCCGCACACCCGGTGAGACCGTCCCTGTGAGACCCGCACACCCGGGGAGACCGTCCCTGTGAGACCCGCACACCCGGTGAGACCGTCCCTGTGAGACCCGCACACCCGGCGAGACCCGCACACCCGGCGAGACCCGCACACCCGGCGAGACCCGCACACCCGGCGAGACCCGCACACCCGGGGAGACCTGCACACCCGGTGAGACCCGCACACCCGGTGAGACGTCCTGGTGAGACCCGCACACCCGGCGAGACCCGCACACCCGGCGAGACCCGCACACCCGGGGAGACCGTCCCTGTGAGACCCGCACACCCGGGGAGACCCGCACACTCGGTGAGACCGTCCCTGTGAGACCCGCACACCCGGGGAGACCCGCACACTCGGTGAGACCGTCCCTGTGAGACCCGCACACCCGGGGAGACCGTCCCTGTGAGACCCGCCTGCTGTCGCCGTGGTGGCGAGTAGACACACGGCAGCTGTGTCCCCTGAGGTCTCTGCGCTGAGCATGGGCCTCCCCAGGGGGTCTGGCCTGGGGGGGGCGGGGGGGCCTCGTCCCCGCCCCCTCCTGTCCCGGAGGAGGGCTGGGGTGGTCGGCCGGGGGTGGGGGGCAGGGAGGGTGCCACGCGGGCCCACTGCCTGTTCAAACAAACATACCCGCAGAGAAAAGCTCATTTGTCCTCTTATTTTAATCATTATTTAAAAAATATATGTTACAAAACAATATCATTCATCATATATTTCTTGCTTATTTTCCTTTTTTAAAAATTAAAGTAATAAAAAAGTCACTTTATAAAATAATACAAAAGGGCAGGAGGCTGGGCCGAGGGCCGGGTTGGGGGTCCCGGGGGCGGGGAGGCCATGTCCGGGGTCCGGGGGCGGCGAAGGCAGCCAGGGGGCATCTGGACCCAGCGCAGGGGAGGGGGCGGGGCCTGGCCCAGGGTGTGGGGGGGGGGGCACGCAGCCCTGGCCCAGGGGCGGGGCGGGGGGGCCAGGGGCGCCCTAACTCCCGCTGCTCAGCATGCCCAGCAGCTTGCTGGGCTCCAGGCCCTGCTGCTGGGCCAGGGTCTGCACGTCGAAGCCCAGGTGCATGAGGAACTGGGCCACGTTCATCTCCTGCCCCGTGAACTGGTCTCGGATGGTGGGGCAGGAGGGGTTGCAGTGGGGCCAGGAGCAGCTGTCCACCAGGTGCACGGGGCAGCCCTTCAGGGGGGCCTTGCTGCCCTTGAGGCCCTCGTGCAGGCTCCTGTCCCAGCAGTGCAGCGCCCGCGGGAGAGAGGTCCCCTTCACCTGCACCTCCGTCCAGTGGCTGCAGAGAAACGGGGGTCACGGGGGGCGGCCGCGGCCACTGGGCTCCTGCCGCCCGCCGGCCGGTGTCTGAGGGGCTTGGGAAGTGGGCGGGGGGGCAGCGGGGGGGGGCAGCGGGGGGGGCAGGGGTCCGAGCCGGCCCGGGGTGAGGGGTGCAGGGACACTGACCTCCGGAGGATGATCTCATGGGAGAGGCAGGCGGGGGCGAAGCTGGCCCTGTGCGGGCGGGACAGCGGCTGTGAGTGCCACCCGCCCGGCCCTTCCCCCCGAGGCTCAAGGGCCGTCCCTCCCCCGGGAGCTGTCCCCCCGCCTCCACCTCCCGCCTGCTGCGGTGCCCACTGGCCAGCGGCTCCTCCGCCTGGGGCCTGTGCCCTGACCAGGAATGGAGCTGTGACCTCCTGGCCGTCCCCACCCGCCGATCTGGTCCGTTCCGGGAACCCTGGTCCCTTCCCGCCTCCAGATCCTCCAGGAAAAGCCTGGAGCCAGAGGCCTGGAGGCAAGTACTGCGCCTATATATATATATATTTAAATCTGGGCCTTCCCTTTGCCCAGATAATTATTGAAATTATCGTTCTTAACTACGTATTGATTGATTGGCCCTGAGAGAGGGGCAGGGAGGAGAGAGAGAGAGAAACGGAGGGTCTGTCGTCCCACTTGCTGATGCACTTGGTGGACTCCTGTGTGTGTGCGCCCCCCAACGGGGCAGCGGACCCGCGACCTGGCGGGGGGGGGGGGGGCGCTAACCACTGAGCAGCCTGGCCGGCGCACTAGTCTTTAAAAAGCAGGTTCTGAGTTTTAGAGACGTTTCTACTCACAGGAAATCGGACGGGACTTGCCTGGCCGGTGTGGCTCAGTGGTTGAGCATCAACCCACGACCCGGGAGGCCACGGTTCCATGCCCGGGAGGGACCCGGGGTCTGCATGCACCCGCAGGCCTTCCTCGCCCACGGCGGCCCCGGGCCCCGAACTCACGCCACGTCCTTGAGCGTCTGCCGCAGCTCCCGGCCCACGTTCTGGATGTACAGCCACTGGCCCTCCTGGACCGGCTGCCCCGTGAGGTGCACGTTGTCCACCGTCAGCTGCGCCTCGTCGAACAGCCACTGCACCACGAACACGGGGCCTGGGGGGCACGGCTCAGCTGGCCTCTCGCCGGACGCGGCCCCCACCCCGGCTCAGGCCCCCCGTCCGGGCCGGCTGGCCTCGCCCCTCACTCTGGCCCCCCTCAGCTCTGCTGCCCCTTAGCGCCCACCCTTCCTCCAAAAAGTGCCCTGTGACGCCCCCCCCCGCCCCGCCCCGTCCCCCCCCCCCCCCCCGTCACCATCTTGGCCTGGCGCCTGGGGGCGCCCACGACTGAGCTTTGGTGACAAGGTCCCTCTGCCGGGAGCTCACTCCCACTCCCCGGCCCCCAGGAGCCGCCCACACCCGTCCTCCTCGCCACCCACCGGAGCCGACTCCTGCTCAGACCAGAGTCCGGGCGGCCAGGCGGCCGGTGGTCTGGGCCTGGCCTCCGGGGCCGCACGCCCGGCTGCGTCCGGAGGTGCAGGCGGCCCCCCCTGGGCCCCCCGAGCCGCCCCGGGCACTCACAGCGCAGGGTCGGGTAGACCTTGTAGCCGAAGAAGCAGTTCCACTCCTCGCCCTCCTTGAACTGGCGCCGGCAGCGCTCGGGGACCAGCCCGTTCCAGTACCTGGGCCACAGCCGCCGTCAGGCTGCCTGCGCCCCCCCCCCCGCCCCCACCTCACCCCGGGGCTCCCTCAGCCAGCGGACACGGCTCCTCCCGGGCCCCCCCGGCCCCCCGGGCTCCCTCAGCCAGCGGACACGGCTCCTCCCGGGCCCCCCCGGCCCCCGGGGCTCCCTCAGCCAGCGGACACGGCTCCTCCCGGGCCCCCGCCCGGCCCACAGCCCCCCCACACACAGAGGACACGGCTCCTCCCGGCCCCCCGCCCGGCCCACGGCCCCCCCACACACAGAGGACACGGCTCCTCCCGGCCCCCCCATCCCCGGCCCCCGGGGCTCCCTCAGCCAGAGGACACGGCTCCTCCCGGCCCCCCCACCCCGGCCCCCGGGGCTCCCCCACACACAGAGGACACGGCTCCTCCCGGCCCACGGCCCCCCCCCACACACAGAGGACACCCCTCCTCCCGGCCCCCGGCCCCCCACACACACACAGAGGACACCCCTCCTCCCGGCCCCCGGCCCCCGGCCACCTGATGCCCAGGCGGATGGCGTCGGTGGGCGCGCAGGTGGCCGTGTCCACGCAGTCGGTGCGGTGGTACTGCTTGTTGTCCAGGAACCAGCCCGAGTCCACCAGGCCCCGCACCTGGATGGCGGGGTGGCCCAGCTCCTGCAGCTGCTCGGCCACGCGGTCCACGTTCAGCAGCACGCCGGTGCCGCCCGCGCTGCGGGACGGGCGTGTGAGGCGGGCGGCAGGGGCGCTCGGCCCCGAGGGAGGCCCCTGGCCCCGTGCCCGGGCACCACCGCCCCCCCGGCCCCCGCTCCGACCCCCCTGGCCCCCACTCCGTCCCCCCCCCCGGCCCCATGCCCGGGCACCACCGCTCCCACGGCTCCCGCTCCGACCCCCCTGGCCCCCGCTCCGACCCCCCTGGCCCCCACTCCGACCCCCCTGACCCCCCCTTCGCCCCCCTGGCCCCCCCTCCGACCCCCCCGCCCGGCCCCGTGCCCGGGCACCACCGCCCCCCCGGCCCCCGCTCGGCCCCCCCCCCGGCCCCCGCTCACCCCCCCCCCCGGCCCCCGCTCCGCCCCCCCCCCACGGCCCCGTGCCCGGGCACCACCGCCCCCACGGACCCCGCTCCCCCCCCCCCCCCGGCCCCGTGCCCGGGCACCACCGCCCCCACGGCCCCTGCTCCGCCCCCCCCCCGGGCCCCCGCTCCGACCCCCCACGGCCCCCGCTCCGCCCCCCCGGGGCAGCCTCTTCCCCAGGGTCCCAGACCCCTTTCTGTGGCCCCCGGGGCGGGTACGGGGGCGGGGCTGGCCGGCTCCTGGGCTGACCCCGCTGACCCCGCGCTGACGGGCAGGCGCCCACTTCCTCCCTCTCCTCCCTCTCTCCCTCCCTCTCCCTCCACCTGGGTTTCCTGATCTGAACGTAGAGGGGCCCGGCCAGTGTGGTCAGTTCCACTCCCGGTCGAGCACAGGCCCGGAGGTCAGTGAGCCAGGAGGTCAGTTCCACTCCCGGTCGGCACAGGCCCGGGGTGCGGGCTCGATCCCCGTGAGGGGTGAGCAGGAGGCAGCGGGTGCGTGATTCTCTCTCGTCATGGCTGTCTCTCTCACGCCCTCTCCCTCCTCTCTGACGTCAATAAGAACATAAATAAACGAGTGAATGAATGAGGAGGCGCTGGGCGGCCTCAGTCCTTCACCGTCACCCGATGGCCCAGGCCCCTGCACAGCTCCCGGGACAGTGACCAGCAGCGCGCTCCCTGCCCTCCTGGGGCCCGGCCTCGGAGAAGGTGCACCGTCTACAGCTAACCACTCCCCAGTCCTGGCCCCCTCACGCACCCCACGGGGCCCGGACTCCCTCACCCACACAGGGGGCCCGGACTCCCTCACCCACACCACGGGGCCCGGACTCCCTCACCCACACCACGGGGCCCGGACTCCCTCACCCACACACGGGGCCCGGACTCCCTCACCCACACACGGGGCCCGGACTCCCTCACCCACACACGGGGCCCAGGCCCCCTCACCCACACACGGGGCCCGGACTCCCTCACCCACACACGGGGCCCAGGCCCCCTCACCCACACCACGGGGCCCGGACTCCCTCCAGATAGTTCCCAGCTGCAGTAGACATCTGCCCTCCTTCCTGTCCCCCCAGGCCCCCGCCAGGCCCCCCTGACCTCCCAGGTCCCTGCAAGGCCCTCCTGTTTCCCCCAGGCCCCCGCCAGACCCACCTGCATCCCCCAGCCCCCCATCAGGCCCCCCGCCCCGCCCCCAGGCCCGCCCCAGGCCCGCCCCAGGCCCGCCCCAGGCCCGCCCCAGCCCCCCATCAGGCCCCCGCCCCGCCCCAGGCCCCGCCCCAGGCCCGCCCCAGGCCCCGCCCCAGGCCCCGCCCCAGGCCCGCCCCAGGCCCCGCCAGGCTCACCTGCTCCCCGCCAGCAGCAGCACCTTGGCCCCGCTCAGCCCCTTGCCCAGCAGCTCCCGCACCACCTCCTGGATGATGAGGGCGCCCATGAAGGCGTATTTGTCTGCGGGAAAAGGGGACGTCACGTGGGGCCTGGCAGAGGGCGGGCCTCCTACGCCAGGCAGGGGGTGTGTGGGGGTGCTGGCAAGGGGGGGGGCGCGGAGGGGCTGGGGGGTTGGGACGGGGGATAGGTTCGGAGGGAGGGGGGTCAGTATGTGGGGCAGTGCTGGGGCCCCTCCCCATGGGCCAGCCAGGAGTGAGGACCCCCCACGGCCTGGCCAGCCCTGGACCAGCAGGCACCCTGGGGCGAGGGCTGCATCCCAGGAGCGGGCCCTCCCGCCCGCCTGCCGGGGGACTGGGGGGGCTGGGGGGGCAGGGACTCACTCTTGTCGGACTTGGGCGAGGCCCCACTCCACACGTCACTGGAGCAGTAGGGGATGAAGCTGCAGGAGAGGACAGTGAGCCCCTCCCCGCCCCCCAGGCCCAGGAGAGACCTCTCCCAGGAAGGGCCCCCCAGGCAGGGCCCCCTCGCCCCCGTACACCATGTTGGCGTTCCACCAGTGCGGGTTCTCCTCGGGCTGGGAGGACAGGATGCCGGTGCCTGTGGCGGGGAGGGCAGAGTCGGGGGAGGGCAGTCAGCGGGGTGGGCAGGGTGTGGGGGCTCCTGCTGGGTCCCCACGAGGGGGTGGCCGTGCCTGGCAGAGCCAAGGTGGCGGGAAAGTGGGGAACAGACCAGGCCCCTAGCCAGGATGAGGGGCCAGCGTGTGACCCCTGGACGGGGCCCTCGACTTCCCTGACCTCCACCGGCTGCTTTGACCCCGTCGTGACCCCTCTCCCTGCGCCCCAAGCGCCCTGCAAGTTCCCTGTGGAAGCAGCAGCTGGGGGAGAGGGGTGACCCCCCTTAGGAGTGCAGAGAGGGGGAGGGGGAGATGGGGGCTGGGGGACTCAGCCGGACCTCCGCTGTGAGCACCAGGAGCCCGGCCCTGGGTCATGGGGGTCATGGGGGGTCATGGGGGTGATGGGGGTCATGGGGGGCGCCCTCGGACCTGTGCGCGTGCGCGGCCAGTCCTTGGAGCTCATGAGGCGCCTCAGGGTGCTGTAGCGGGAGTCGCAGTTCTCGCGGTTGAAGCAGTACCAGCCGCCTGTGGGCACGGCACCCACCGCTCAGGCCCCGGCCCCGGGGACCCCGCCGCCCCCATCACCCCGGGGACCCGCCGCCCGGCTCCGGACGCACCTTCCAGGAAGAGCAGCCAGCGCCGGCTGCCCTTGGACTCCTTCAGGTAGTAGCTGCAAAGGGGGTGCGGGGGTGGGTCAGCGGGGCGCAAAGGGGGTGCGGGGGTCAGCGGGGCGCAAAGGGGGTGCGGGGGTCAGCGGGGCGCAAAGGGGTGCGGGGGGTCAGCGGGGCGCAAAGGGGGTGCGGGGGTCAGCGGGGCGCAAAGGGGGGCGGGGGGTCAGCGGGGCGCAAAGGGGGTGCGGGGGGTCAGCGGGGCGCAAAGGGGGTGCGGGGGTCAGCGGGGCGCAAAGGGGGTGCGGGGGTCAGCGGGGCGCAAAGGGGTGCGGGGGGTCAGCGGGGCGCAAAGGGGGTGCGGGGGAGGCGCAGGGCCTGGGCCCGGGGGAGGGGTGGGGGAGAGGCCATCCACCTGTCGCCGGGCGCGCCGGCCGCACGGGGGCGCCCGCGGCCGGACCCTGCACCGCGCACGGCGGTGCCGGGCCAGCCGGGAGGGGGCGCCCGCGGGCCGGGGACGCCGCGCGGGGCTGTGTCCGTGGAAAATCCCCGCGGCCTCCCCGGCGGGGCGGGGGGCGGGGGGCCTCCGTCCGGACTCCGGGCCCTGGGGGGGGGGCGCTGGGGGCCGCCAGGGCCCCGCAGAGGGGAGCGCGGGATGCCGGGCGAGGGGCGCCCAGGCGGGGTCGCAGCCTCCTCCTGAGCCGACCCGGCTCCCGTTCCTGGGCGCCGGCTGGCGGAGCCAGGGGGTCCCCACCTCCTCCGGATCCGCAGCCTCCATCCTGCCCTCCTCTGCCTGGGGCTGCGGCTCCCCAGGTCCTGCTGCGCCACCTGCTCCCTCCGCGTCCTCTGTGGCCGCCCTCCTCCGCCCCGCCCGGCAGCCGCGGGGCGCCCGTGAGCCGGGGTGGGTGCGGTGGGGTGAGGGTGGGGGTGGGGGTGCAGCCCGGCTCCCCGCCCCGCCTCGCTCCTCCCGTGGGAGCCCAGGCCGCCCGAGGGCGGCCACCTCCCGCCCCGGGGCCGAAGGACACAGCGGGCGGAGGGTCTGGGCACCGGTGGCCGAGGGGTCAGTGCCCGGGCTGGCCGGGGACCAGGGCTGCCAGCCCGTCCCCACCCCCGCGCACAGCCGGGCGGACGGAGGTCAGCGCCTCCCGGGCCGCTGGGCGCCCTCCCCCGGGGCCCGCGGGGAGGGGGCCGGCGGGGAGGGCCCGCGGGGGCGTCCGGCGCCGGAGCGGCCCGGCCCGGCGGTCCCGGGGCCGCGGGGCGGGCGGGCGCGGGCGGAGCTCACCCGGCGGGGCTGCCGTCGTTGCAGGTCGCCGTCGCGTTGGGCAGGAGGTGCAGGCGCAGGTCCTCGCCGAGCTGCTGCGCGGAGCAGGGGTACAGCGACTGCGCCAGGCTCTTCACCTGCGCCATGAAGCTGTCCATGTTGCCCTCCACGGCCGTGAAGTCCAGCGGGAAGCTCTCCACGGGCGCCGCCTCGGCCCGCGGCGGGGTGGGCTGCTGGCCGCGGCGCCGCCAGGCCTTCCTGCCCGCGCCGCCCCCGGCCCCCTGCAGCAGGCCCAGCAGCAGCAGCAGCGCGCGCGCGCCTCGGCCCATGGCCACCTGCGGGCGAGCGGCGGGCGCGGGGTGGGCGCGGGGCGGGGTGCGGGCGCCGGGCCGGGCGCGGGGTGGGGGTGCGGGGGCGCGGGGCCGGGGCGCCCGCCGCGCTGCTGCCTCGCGGGCGGCTCGCTCGGGCCGGCCGGGCGGCGGGGGCGGCGTCGGGGCTGCGGGCCGGGCGGACGCCGTGGCCGGGCGGCTGGGCTCGGGCGCGGCGCTCGGAGGGCAGCGGGTCTGTGCCGGCCCCGCCCGCGCCAATGACGCGGGGGCCGCGCGGGGCGTATTCGCGGGGCCGCGGCGCCCGGGTGCCCGCGCGTTAGATGTGCCGCCGCCGCCGCCGGCCCGGCCCGGCGAGGGGGCGGGACCGCGCGCCTCTCCTCTTGGCGGAGGCAGCGCCTTTTCTTCCCAAACCGCAGCCTGACGGAGGGGCCCGACTGCCCGCCGCGGCCGCCGGAGGCGCTCCGGCTCCGCTCCGTGGGGGGCAGCGCCCCGCGGCCCCGGCGGCTCCACGGCGGGGCCAGCCCGGCGCCGCCGCCTCCTCCCCGGGCGGCGGGGGCGCGCGGCGGGGGCGGCGGGGGGAGCCCGGGGCTGGGGGTGGCGGCTGGGGGAGCCCAGGGCGGGGGTGGCGGCGGGGGGAGCCGGGGGCGGCGGAGGGGGACTCCGCTCCGCGGCTCCTGCGGACGGGCCGAGGGCTCCGGACCCGCGCCCTCACCTGAACCCCCGGGGCCGCGGCACCCCCGCGCCCAGGCCCGGGTGTAGCCGGGGGCTCCCCGCATCCCGCGCCCCGGCCCACGACCCCCCGCCCCGAGCGGCCGGAGACCCGGCTCACCGGCCGCGCCCGGCTCCGCGGTGGGTCGCTGCCCGCACCCCCGCCGCCGCCTCCGGAGCTGGCGCGGGGCCCGGGATCAAAGCGGCGCGGACCCGGCTGCCTGGGGCGGAGCGGGCAGGTGTGGCCGGGCCCCGGGCGGCGAGCGGAGGGACCGGAGCCGGGACTCGGCGCCGCGGAGGACTCGCCGGCCCGGCTCCGAGCGGACAGGGAGCGGACCGGGACGGGAGGCCGCGGGGGGCGGGCACTGGAGGGGGCGCCTGGCTGCGCTCCGGGCCGGGACCCGCCGGGCGGGGGCGAGGCCGGAGGGTCCGCCCGGTCTCCGCTCGGACCCCCGCTGGCCGCTGAACCCGCCCAGCGCCTCACCTTCCACCTTCCCGCCTCCGCACGTGGCACAGGGAGCCTCCGTTCAGAACCGAGGAGGGGAGGGCGGTGTGGACGGACGAGGTGTCCCCTGTGGGGCAGGGAGACGGCGAGAGAGCCGCATTCCTCACCCCTTGGAGCCCACCGCCCCTTGGCAGGCCTCTGCCCGCTCCCCTCCGCCTGCGCCGTGGATGCCCCTGTACCCACCAAAAGCAGGCCCTGGCCGGTGTGGCTCAGTGAGCAGAGCATGGGCCAAGGGTCCCGGGTTCCATTCGGGTCGAGGGACCAGGGCTCCTGCAGGAGGCAACCCACCCATCTCACATGGATGTTTCTCTCTGTCTTTCCCTCTCCTCCACGCTCTGAAAATCCATGGGGAAAAGTCCTCAGGTGAGGATTAAAAAAAGGGGCAGGAGCGGGTCTTACCTTTGGAAATGACAGCTGGACCAGGGCAGGCCTTCCTGGGCCCCGCCGGATGCCAGGCGGGCACGGGTAGGCAGGCAGCCGGGCTGGGTCCCGGCTCGGCTCCGAGTCCCTCTGGAGCAGCAGCGGGCGGTGGCACCAGCTGGCCTGGCCCTGCCTTTGTAGTCGCCCTGCGTGCCGGGCCCCTTTGGCCCGAGCACGAGTGATGAGCCGAGATTAGGAAGTTACAACACCGCCCTGCACACGCCTGGCGGGCAGGCCCGTGAGCGTGCGGGGGCGTGAGGTGCTGAGATCGGAAACCGGACGAGGCTGCGGTGGTGCCCTGGGGGCCGGCCGGCCGGCCGGGCGGGCCCTCCCTGCAGGCACATGCCATTTCCCCACGAGGGAGCCGAGGCTCCCAGAGGCTGACTGAGTGCCGAGGCTGAGCTCCATCCACTCGGAGACCCACCCTCGCCTCCCCCGCTTCTCAGGCCAGCTTCCTGCTGAGCTTCCAGCCGAGGCCCCTCTGGAGGGGTCTCCCCCCCAACGGACCCAGCAAGGCCCTGGCAGGGAGGGCGGCTCCCAGCCAGATGGCCGGGCTGCGGGGGGCTGTGCCGGACACTGGCCTGGCTCTGAGCCACCTCCTGGCCAGCGGATCCCGGACCAGGCCCATGACCTCTCCCTGCCCCCATTTCCACTTCTTTAAGTGGTGCCCCCGAGCCCCCCGCACTCCCGTCAGAGGCCCCGTGGGACCGGGGGCCCATGCGTGACTGTGCTCAGCGCAGCCAGCAGGACGGCGCGGGGACTGCCTGCCAGCGGCATTCTGGGGCCGGGACACATCTCCTCTTCCGCGGCATCCTGGCGATGCGGTTCAGCCTGCACGTTGGAGCCAGACGAGCTCCTGTGTGAGTGAACTCAAGACTCTGAGCAGCAGCCCGGCCGGCCGGCTCCGGGGCTGAGCGTTGGGCTAGGAGCCAGGAGGTCAGGGTTCGATTCCCGGTCAGGGCACAGGCCCGGGTTGCGGGCTCCCTCCCCAGAGTGGGTGTGCAGGAGCCAGCCGGTCCATGATTCTCTTTCATCATGGATGCTTCTCTCTCCCTCTCCCTTTCCCTTCCTCTCTGACATCAATAAAAATACATTTAAATACAAACCAAAAAAAAGCAGTCTACCACGGGTCAGACCAGTGATGGATGGCAGGATGGCAGGTGACGGGGAGGAGGGGGAGCTCACAACCCTCCTGGGAGGTGGGACATACCCTGTGCTCGTTGCTCATCAGACACAGGTCTGAGGGCCGCCTGTGGGGGTGCTGTGGCCCAGTCTCTGCCCCGGGGCCTGGCTCTGCCTCCGCCTGTACCTGCCTCACGGGGTCACCGGGGTGTGGAGGGAGCAGGATGGGCAGGGGCCGTGAGCAGGTGCTAGTACTGTTTTCACTCTTGGGCGGATGCTGGCCGTCTCTCGGGGACCTAGGGGGACCAGGTCCTCGTGCACTCAGGGCTGGTGGAAGGTCTGGGGGCAGGCACTCAGCCTGAGGGACAGGAGCAGGAACAATGTCCCAGGGTGCTGTGCGGCAGTGGCCCAGTGGACCCCGGACACCGGATGCTGGACGTGGGACCCGCCTTCTCTGTCCAGCCCCCCTCCCTGACCGGCCCCTCCAGGGTGGCTTCCGTGTCATCCCGGCCTCTGCTTCCCGGTTCCCGTTTGCTGGACGCCGGGTGCCTGTGGCTGAGCTTACGTCCTGTGTGCCCAGCTGCAAGGGAGCCTGGGAAACGAGAGCTCAGAGGGGCCTGCCTCTGTAGGAGGGGCATCCTAGGTGTCGGACTCGTGTGCAGGGCTGTTCTTCAGGGGATGAAGCCCTGAGGGGGCGGGGGGAGGGAGCCAGGATCCCAGGGGAGCACAGAGTTAGCTCATGGGAGTGCGGTCTCCGGACACGTCCCCGATTCCTGGGAAAAGGGTGCCAGAGACGGAACATTTCAGGAACCGAAGAGCTAGGGCTCAGTTGGGGCCGACTCGGGGCCCAGACTGGCGGTGGGGGGGGAATCGAGGGGAGAGGGAGGAGGGTGTGGAGGGCGTCAGTGCACAGGGACCCGGCTCCGACTCCGACAGGCCCCTCCCGGCCTTCAGAGCACCGTGCTGTCCAGCAGCCCCAGCCCCAGCCCCAGGGCCCGGACGGACAGGGGCTGCCCCGGCTCAGGGCTGGCTCCCTCCTGGGCCGGGCCGGCGGCTCTGGGCGGCTCTGGGCTCCAGCTGCTGCGGGTCGTCTGGGGCCCAGCTGTTGCCTCTGCCTCCGCCGCCCCGCCTCGCACAGCCACCTGGGCGGCTCCGAGCCCCAGCTGCCGAGGCGAAGAGGGCCGGGTGGGGGGGGGGTTGGGGGCACCCCACTCCCCACCCCGCCCCCCGGAGGCTCACCCCGAGGGGAGGCCCTCTCCCTCGCCAGCTGAGAGCCCAGCCCCAGCGCCGAGCCAGGAGGGGCCTCAGGCCAGGTGGGCCATCGCAGAGCTGGGATCCCTCCCGTTTGTCCCCAGAGCCCCCCTCGGCGGCAGGAAGCCCTCGGCCGCGTGGCCTGGGACTGCTGGAGCCTTCAGGGCGGGGAGCTGGGGCCTGATGCCGGGGGTGTCCTCTCTGGGGACTGGATGGCTGCTGGCAGGCCTGGCCGAAGGGACCCCCGCATCCTGGCCTTGAGACTGAGAGCACGGGGGAGCAGAGCCCCGTCTCTTGGGGTGACTGCGCCCCCGGCTGTGGGTGGACGCTGAGTCCATCCCGGCCGGCGTGGCTCAGCGGTTGAGCGTCCACCTGTGGACCAGGAGGTCAGGCAGGTGCCGGGTGGTGGGCTCCTTCGGTTCCTGGGCACCCCCCAGGAGGGGCGTGGCTCTGTCATCAGGGAAGCCGAGTCCTCGATGCTCCAGCCGCTCTGCCCCGACCCCCACCCCCGCCAGTGAACAGAGGGCCAGGGTGGGCTTTTTGGGCTCGGGCTCATCTCCTGGGGGTCCTGGACCTCAGTGGTCCATAGGCGGGACCCGGCCTGCTCTCAGCACCCTGCCCCCCCCCATCCCCAAGGTGGGGGGAGGGGGCCTCGGGGTGTCTGTCCCTGGGCACCCCTAGGTGCCAAGCGTGCTTGCTGGTCTCCACGCAGGTGAGGAGGGGGTAGGGGGGACGGTCAGCGGCTCGGCAGGGCGGGGGGCTGGGGGGGGGTGCTGTGTCCGCCTCCTCAGCTCCCAGCTGCTGGCTCCTGCGGCCTCCGGAGCCCCAGGCCGGCTGGTCCCCATCTGTGCGGCAGGCGGTCCCCAGCGCCCGCCGGCGGCCGGCGGCCAGCGTGGCCAGCCCGCCATGTGACCTTCGGCCCACACTCCGCCCGCTCGCCCTGTGATCCGCACGTGGCCTCTGGGGAGGCAGAGCGGAGCCCTCAGATCTGCCCCTGGGAACCTGTCAGCGCCAGCGACATCAAAGCGGACGGCAGGCCGCGGCGCAGATGCTGCTCTTAAAGGGCCACGCCACGTCGTAATTCAAAGCAGACCCTGCGAACAGCTGTCAGCCTCTCCCTGGGAGGAGGGAGGGAGGCGGCCGTCCGTCCTGTCCCTCCGGGCCCGCTGCCTTCCCAGCGAGCGGGTCGCAGGGCGGGTGGCGAGGGTGCTGGGTCCGAGCGTCCGGCCAGAGTCACCATCCCCTCCTCAGAGGAGGACCCTCGGGCTGAGCAAGGGCCTTGGCCCAGGGCGGCCATGGCCCTGCTTTCCGTTGGGGTGAGCTCAGTGGTGTGACCCCTCGCCCAGCTCTCAGGTTCGGTCCCGGGGGGGAGAGGGGGGTCTGTGTGGGAGGTGACCCAGCGCTGTGTCTCTCTCACGTGGAGGCCTCCCTCTCAAAGTCAGTTTTAAAAATAACGTGATCTCACCGAAGCCGGTAGAGCGTCGGTCTGCGGACTGAACGGTCCCGGGTTCGATTCCGGTCAAGGGCATGTACATTGGTTGTGGGCACATCCCTGGTGGAGGGGTGTGCGGGAGGCGGCTGGTCGATGTTTCTCTCTCATCGACATTTCTAGCTCTCTATCTCTCTCCCTTCCTCTCTGTAAAAAATCAATAAAATATATTTTTTTAGCCGGGACCGGTTTGGCTCAGTGGATAGAGAGTCGGCCTGTGGACTGAAGGGTCCCGGGTTCGATTTTGGTCAGGGGCATGTACCTTGGTTGCATCCCCAGTAGGGGGGTGTGCAGGAGGCAGCTGATCGATGATTCTCTCTCATCGATGTTTCTAGCTCTCTATCCCTCTCTCTTCCTCTCTGTGAAAAGTTAATAAAACATATATTTAAAATATATATATATATATATTTTTTTTTTTTTTAAATAGTGTGATCTCGCCCTGGCTGGTGTGGCTCAGTGGACAGAGTGTGGGCCTGCGAACTGAAAGGTCCCAGGCTCAATTCCCGTCAAGGGCTCCATACCCAGGAGGGGATGTGCAGGAGGCAGCAGGTCCATGATTCTCTCACATCCCTGATGTTCCTCCCTCTCTTCCTCTCCCTTCCTCTCTGAGATCAATAAAAATATGTTGTAACAAAGAGAAAGTGGCTGAATAGTGACGATTTCATACAATCCGCCTGATAGGGATCTGGAATGTGGGAGGCAGAGGAGGGAGTGGGGCTCTGAGGCCTCTGGGGAAAGGATGTGTTCGGTCCCCTCAGGCACCTGGGAGGCAGTGACACCCCAGCCTCCAGCCGGCTCCGCCCCAGGCGGGGCTTCTTCCCCGGCCCCCCATAGGGCTGAGGGCTCTCCTGGGAAGCCGGGGCTTTGGGTTCGGGTTCGGGGTTCGGGTTCGGGTTCGGAGTGGCGCTGGAATGTCCGGATGACCTGGGGGGTATCTGTGCCTCTGAGATAACAAACCTGGACTGTCAGAGCCTTCCCATCGCCAAGCCGAGCCCTCAGGCTCCCCGCAGCCTCTTATCTGCTGCCGATAGCATCTCCTCTCAGTGAGTGGGGAGGGTGCTGTCCCCGGCGGTGTCAGAGTTTGACTCGGACTCACAGAAAGGCTTCCGGGGACGCGGGGAGCGGGGAGGGGGGGCGGGGAGCCGGGCGTGCGATGGCCACGGCTGCCCCGTGTGTGCGGTGGCCTGGAGGCTGGATGGGAGCGGGCCGTGCTCTTGAGAAACACACGGAAGTGCTTACAGGCCACGGCACACGTGTCCGTTACCCTCAAACGGTTCAGAACAACCGGACACGTGTGTGGAGCCGGAGACCGAGGAGCAGCCGGGGCAGCCGGTGGGCAGCCTCGGTCCGTCCGAGACGCACGGGGAGATTCTGGCTGCTCCTGAGCCTTTCTTCCAAGTTTGAAATAACATGCACGCCCACACCCCAGTCCTGGTTGGTGTGGCTCAGTGGGTAGAGCGCTGGCCTATAGACTGGAGGGTCCCAGGTTCCATTCTGATCAAGGGCATGCGCCTGGGGTTGTGGGCTGGATCCCCAGTGGGGGGTGTGCAGGAGGCAGCCGATCCATGATTCTCTCTCACCATGGATGTTTCAATCTTTCTCCCCCTCTCCCCCTTCCTCTCTGAAATCAATACAAATATTTTTTAACACCCCCCCCCCCCCCCTGAAAAGGAGTATAGGAACCGGCTCAAAGGAGGGCTGGGCTCACTGGCTGAATTTGGACCCATTGGAGCATCAAAAAGAACAATGGGATGGAAAAAGAATCTATGAATTCAAATTAATATTTAAGCATTTAAAATATATTTTTATTGATTTCAGAGAAGAAGGGTAAGGAAGAGAGAGAGAGAGAGATCAATGATGAGAGAGAACCATGGATCGGCTGCCTCCTGCAGGCCCCCCATGGGGGATTGAGTCCTCAAATCAGGCCTGTGCCTTATGAACAGGGAACTGAGCTGTGACCTCCTGGTTCGTAGGGCAACGCTGGGCCCCTGAGCCCCGCCAGGCAGTCAGGCCTTACATATCTTTTTAAAATGGAGGGGGAAGCATTTCTTTTCCTTTTTAAAAACTGAACGCATTGGGGTGACATTGGTTCATAGACTTGGGCAGGCTTCAGGGCTATGGGCCTGTGATACAGCCTCGGCATGTTAGTATTTCTTCCACACACACACCCCCCCCCCCCATGGCTCTGAGTGAGGAGCAGTGATGACACCGGAAAGCCACAGTTTGCAGTGGCGGAATTGCCGGTGGGTTCAGGCAAGGCCCATCCACCGAGAAGCCTGTGGGTAAACGGTTCCTGAGAAACATGGTACTTATGGCTCATTTCCTCTGCAGGGACTGTGCAAAGCAGGTGCTGAGACTTCACGTCCCCGCCGGCCGGATGGACAGGGGCCCTGGGCCTGCTGTGGCCGCCGTCTGTGCGCTCACCGCTCCCAACGTGAACCCCGGACAGGCCCAGGAGTGTCCGTCTGCGCTGAAGGAAAGGGGCCGCCAGCGTGGCGAGAAGCTAAAACAGACCCCCAGCCAGTGGACAGCAGGCTCCGAAGGGCCCTCAGGGGCGACGGAAGCTGTAACGCGGGCTGCGGGGCGGCCTGGCCGCTGGTGGGCTCAGGGTCCTGGTTTCAGGGGGTGCTGAGCTGTGGTGGAGTGGGGTGGGGTGGGGGGTGGCGGGGTGGCCTGCACCTCTCGGACAGGCGCCCAGTGGAAGCGGGGGAGGAGCCGATGGGACCAGAGGTTGGAGTGAGCGCCCCTCGGTGGAGGAGCAGAGATGAGGAACGAGGTGGGGGCACCGGATCACATTCCAGCTCCTGCGTGGGCATTATCTCCTCGTCAGGATTGTCATGGCGATGACTGCATAGCCACCTGGTCACAGGCCACTTCCCACCCAACAGTGACATCGGCCCCGGGTTCGAGGGTGTTCGTGGAGTGCTGGACCGGACACAGAGCTATCTCGGGCGGGCGGGTGGGCGTGTCAGACCCTGAGCAGGCCCCTGGAGTGCCACTGAGCTGGATGGCCGGACCACAGGCCGTGCCCTGGCTCACGTGCACATCTGAACTTATTTCAGTTTGGGGCTGTCACCAAGAGGGCAGCTATGGACACGAATGCAGATTGTCTTAAAAACTTCCTAGTGATGTTTGTTTCTGAGCTTAGAGGAAGAGAGAGGAAGGGAGAGGGACACAGAGAGAAACATTGATCGGCTGCCTCCTGCACATGCCCTCCTGGGGATGGATCCTGCAACCCGGGCCTGTGCCCTGAGCCGGAATGGAACTACGGTATGACCTCTGAGCCACACCCGCTGGGCTGTCCTGTGTGTGTGTATGTGTGTGTGTGTGTGTGAGAGATACTACGTTTGGAAAGAAACGTGTGAGCCGCACAAGCACCCAGGTAGGCCGGCGAGGATGACTCTGCCCCTACCATCACCTCCGTGGTGGTGCTGAGGTCAGTCCTGGGTCCTCAGCTGGAGCCTGGAGCGCAGCCCTGAACACAGGCGCCCAGTCGCAGGAAGGAGCCGCCTTCCGCACCACAGGCGGGGGAGGGTCCTCCTGCCAGGTCCAAGGGGGGGCCCAAGGAAACATCGGGGTGCTTCCTGCCAATCCCGCCCTGGCCCAGCACCCCCAGGTCCCCACGGGGCACCTGCGGCTTGTCCCTGGGGCTGGCTTGTTTTCACAGACGCCACACGGGGTCCCGGCCTGTCCTGCCTGGCCTGGTCTTCACCAGGTCCGGCCCAGCCCGGCCGCCTGGGGAGGTGGGCCCGCCCGGCCTCCGCCCCTCCCCCTCCCCCTCGCCCACCGCCGGGTGCTCTGCAGCAGCAGGAGGTGCTGTGCACTTGTGGGGACCCAGTGTTGTCTGTCTCCCCGAGAAGGGTCATTCCTCCGACAGATGTCTGCCGACGCCCGCCCTGTGCTGGCGCTGCTCTGCGTGTCAGCCTGCAGGAGGACCAGGCCGGCCCGGGCGGAGGCCCCCGGAAACAGCGCGGAGTCACGAAGGCCCGCCGAGCAGAGGAGGCCGGGGAGCCCCACGGGCTGATGTGGGAGGGGCCTGGGGGTCCCCATGGGTGAGGGATGTGGGTGGAAAGCTGGACGGGGCACTGGTCACAAATGCCCCAGGCATCTGCCCCGAGGCCCCTGAGCCTAGCTGGACACACACAGACACTGAGACCCTGTGAGCAGGAGAGTGGACAAGACCAGGCCATGCGAGGAAGGCCGGCCGCCCACAGGCCTCGCTCTGTGAGCCAGAGCAAACGGGAATGGCAGGAGGCCGGCTGCCCCATCCTCTCCATGGTCCCCCGGAACTCTAACGCAGGGGGGTGTCTGTGTGAGCATGCAGGTGCCTAGGAGGCGCTGCGTGACCCACACCGGGAGGCTTTGGGGTCCCTACACCCCTTCTCCCCACCTCCCACGGGGGGGGGGGTGTGCTGGCTGCTGTGGCCTGAGCCTGGCGCGGACAGTGCAGCCTCTCAGCTCAGACTGACCTGCGCCCCCCACCCCCCGCCTCACCCGGCTGGGGCCGCACCCCTGGCCTTCACCCCCGGGGTCGGAGGTGGCCACAGGGGACATGCAGAATGGAGAGAGTCGGGGTCGAGGCCCAGAGGGAAGGAAGGCCAGGCCCGGGCGCGCTCGGTCCCGCACGGCCTTCCCTTCCTCCTCCCGCGTCGGTGCCGCTCGGCCGCGCGGGACGGTGGGCGAGTGAGAGCCACACGCGGGGCCGGAGGAGCGGGGGCGGGGCTAGGACAGGGGCGGGGCCAATCCAGGGGCGGGACCTGCGCTGCGCGGGGGCGGGGCCCGGGCGTACCCGGAAGCGCACGCAGGCCCCGCCCCGCCCCGCCCCCGGCCGCGCGGCTGTGCGTCCCGGCTGTTGCCGATAAAGTTGTTTGAAGCGGCGCCGGGTCACGTGAGCGGAACATGGCGGCCTCGGCCAGCGGCGGGGGCTCCGCGGTGTCGGTGCTGGCCCCGAACGGGCGGCGCCACACGGTGAAGGTGACGCCGAGCACGGTGCTCCTGCAGGTGCGGCGGCGGGGCGGGGCGGGGCGGGGCGGCTCGTGCGGTTGGCTGCGGAGGGGCGGCGCCCGGTCCGGCTGCGGGGTCTCAGGCCCGCGCCCCCTCCCGGCGTGTCCCCGCCGGGGCCCGCGGGGCTGGGCGTGCCGGCCTTTGTGCCTGGACCGGCCGTGCTGACTCACTCGCTGCCCTCCCCCCGAATCCATCCCATTGGAAAGTGTATGGGCCCCGCCGTGTAGGGGGCGGTGCGCTCACCGGGTCCTCCGGGAGCGGCCCCGGGGTCGGGTGGGGGTCTCTCGGGACACAGGAGGAGGCGCCCAGGGCCCCCGGAGCCGGCGGTGGGGAGCTGGCCCTTGGGAGGGGCGCCCACGCTTGGACTCGGTGCCCTGGGAGTGGGGCCGGGGCTGGAGTGAGTGTAGGAGGTGAAGAGGGACCCGCTCGGAGGCCAGCGGCGCCGGGGTGACAGGGCCCGCCAGGAGGACAGGGACAGCGAACGGGACTGGTGGGTGAGGCCCGAGGAGCTGTGGAGTGGACGGGCCATCCTGTGGCCTCCTAGGCTTTGTCCAGCAGAGCCCGGCCCTCTGAGGGCTGCCCTCCACCCTCAGCTGCCCCCCCTGCCCCCCTGTGCCTGCCACCCGCCCAGCAGCAAGCGGGCAGTGCTGACGCCTCTGTCTACCCCCAGGTGCTGGAGGACACGTGCCGGCGGCAGGACTTCAACCCCAGCGAGTATGACCTGAAGTGAGTGCTCGCCCCTGCGGAAGGTTATCTCCTCACAGCCCCGCCCCCAGGCCGGCCCGTGGAGGTGGCGAGGGCTGCGGTTGGGGGGGGGGGACCCGGCCCTGGTGGCTCCAGCCTCGCCTGGCTGGTGGTCACATCGCTCCAATCTCTGCCTCCTCCCCACACGGCCTCTCCCAGTGCCCTCTCCTCTCCCTCCCAAGCACCCGCCCTGGTTCAGGATGAGGGCCCTTAATCCCGGCACATCTGCACAGTCCCTGTCTCCCGATACGGCCCCGTCCCGCGCTCAGGGGTTGGGGCTGGGGCCGTCCTCCCACGGCCACCACTCCGCCCGCTGCCACAGGGTTTTCGTGCGTTTGGTCCTGTAAGCTCTGCTGGGGCTCGGAGGCCAGGAGGAAGGGGTCACGGAGAAATGGGAAGAGGCCTGTGCGGGGGAGAAGCCGGCGGCCGCCCGGGAGCCCTGGCGCGGTCTCTGCCTGGGCCGTTTCCTGGAGGGTCTGTGGTTCGGAAAGGGCCGGCCGGCCGGCCTGGCTCTGGGGCTGAGCATGTGCCCAGGGACCAGGACGTCATGGTTTGGTCCCCGTCGGGGCGCATGCCCGGGTGACAGGCTCGGTCCCCAGCGGAGAGCGTGCAGGAGGCAGTGGATCTGTGATCCTCTCTCCTCACGGATGTCTCTCTCTCTCCCTCTTCCTTTCTCTGACATCCACAAAAGTATATTTAAAAGTAATAACACAAGGGAAGGATTGGGGCCCTGCTCCGATGGGTGTGGGCTTCTGCGGCAGGTTCCAGGCGGCGGACCTGACAGCGTGGCTGTCCTCACTGTGGCAGGGCCTGTTCCGTGGCCTGGCGGTGCCGTGGCGTGCGTGGGCTCTTCACAGAGGAGGCTGAGCGGAGATGCCCTCATGCCGCCCGGCTCTGGCCTCCTGCCGGGCCCACGAGAGTCCCAGGGCCCCTGCTTCTCACTGGGTCACCCCCGCTTCCTCCTCCATCTCCTGAACCCTCGGCTGGGGCCTGGGTGGGGCCGTCGGAGGTCGGCTCTCTTACCATCTCGCGCCTGTCCGCTGCTGACTGCACAGCTGCCCCTTGAAAAACGGGGGTTTGAACTGCCCGTGGGGTCCACTTCCACGTGGATGCTTTCCTTTTTTTAATTCCTTAAAGAGAACCTTTGTGTTGGACGTTTTCCATACGCCCCTTTTCTCTCCCACTGACCCGACAGCCTGCCCGCCCCAGGCCCCACCACCCTACTGTCTGTGCCCAGTGTTTTTCTCTCTTTAATGCTTTTATGGGGGTGGGGTGCTCGGAGTTGTTCTGCTTGTGCATTCGCTGGCTGATGCTTGGCTGTGCCCTGACCTGGGATGGACCCACAGCCTCGGTGCATCAGGACACTCCAACCATCGGAGTCCCCGCCCCCCCCCCCCCCCCCCCCCCCGGGCCAGGAGCAGAGGCTGCTCCGTGAACGCCGGCTGCTTGCTCCCCTGGGGCTGTGGACAGCGACTGCGTTGAGCTGAGCCACTTCATGGAAGGGTCTTGAGCATCTTCGCGTTTGGGTATCAGTAGGGTCCAGGAACCGATTCTCGCTGGAGTTGGAGGGACAGGGTTACGTTCTGGAGGTCAGAAGCTTATACGTGGGCCTTCCACCCCATGGGCGTCCGCACCCTCACGCCTCGGTTCACGGGTCAGCGCGGCCACGCCAGGGAAGGCAGTCTCGGGGTGCCGCCTGCCTGCTCCCTCTGCGCAGCCCGGCTGCCCTGTCCCCGCCGGCCGCCTGCAGTGAGCCCTGGGCGGTGGCTCTCTGAGCTCCTCTTGTCACCCTTGAGAAGCCGGGGCCTCACCAGCTGCTCACCCTAAGCCCTCCGTCTGCCTCGGGCGGCCTCTCCCCAGCGCCGAGTCCCCCTAAGCTCCCGCGGGAAGTCGAGCTCAGATCTGAGTTGAGAGTGTTCCAGGCTCCCTCTCCTCGTGACCTGCTGTCTCCACAGCCCGGCCGCACGGGAAGGGCTTTCACCCGGGCAGAGTGTGCCTGTCGGTGGACGGGGTGGTCAGGGTCCTGCAGCTCCAGGGGTCCGCCCGGTCCCTGCCCACAGTGAGGCCGTGTCCTGTCTGTCTCCGCGTCGCAGGAGCTCCTGTTGGCCCACAGCTGACATGTGACCCAAGCTGGACGTGGAGCCGCCTGTGGTCCCAGCTCTGCTCTGGGTGCGGGCCGCCTGCTGGCTCTTCTCACTGCTTCTTGTGAAATAGGCTGAGCGGGCGGCAGCCAGGCTGCCAAGCAGGACCCGCAGGCTCACAGGGCCCATCCTCCTGCCCTCGGGGCTTCCGGTCCTGACTCCTCCATCTCTGCCTCCTCGGACCAGGGGCTCTGTGTGTGTGGGGGGTGGGGTGGGGGGAGGATTGAGGAGCTGGCCGCCCTGCTGTCGGGCCACATGGCCTCCTGCTGACCAGAGTGCCAGGCCCCGGGGCATCACTGGCAGCGACGGGCGCTCAGGCTCTGCCTGGCTGGGAGTGGTGGCTGGTCCTCTGGAGCCGGTACCTCAGGATGGCGGGAAGCGGGCGATGGGAGCTGGCCCCGGGGACCACGTCGGGGCAGCTCTGGCCGGTGGGCTCCCCGTCCTGCACTGCCGCCCTCGCTGAGCTGTCTGCTCGCTCGCCCTTTCCCCGGGAAGACCCCCCGGGCCACGCCCGCCTGGTGGCCGGGCCTGCAGAGCCGTGGCAGTGAGGCTGTCTGTGTTGCAGGTTCCAGAGGAACGTGCTTGACCTCTCTCTGCAGTGGAGGTTCGCCAACCTGCCCAACAACGCCAAGCTGGAGATGGTGCCGGCGTCCCGCAGCCGCGAGGGGCCCGGGAACACGGTAGGCGCCGCGCCGCCCTCTGTGGGGCACAGGCCACCAGCCCGCCCCACACCCGCCGTCTGCTCTGCCAGCAGAGCCGCTCCCATGTGCTGGTCGGCAGGGGGCTGTTCTTGTGCTGAGCGTGTGTTGGGCTCACTGGGCCGGTCCCTCTCGCTGGGAGCCTGTCCCTCCTGACGGCCTGGAGGCGCCCAGCTCAGTGACCCCGAGGGGAGGGACCCTCCGTCTTCCCTCCTGGTCTTGGGCCCAGCCTTCCCCCGAGCGGAGCAGCCGTGAGGCTCAGAGACCCCCCGGGCCCCGCCTTCCCGGCCGCACTGCCCGGCCAGCCCCGGAGGGCCCTCGCTCGGGAGGCCGGGCTGGCAGGCCGGCCTGCGTCAGCTCTCCAGAGCCACCAGGAGTCAGGCACACACCGGACGGACCCTGACCCCGTGCCATCGCGACCGCGGCGTCCTCAGGCGCACGTGTGTGTGTGAGTGTGTGCGTGTGCGTGTGAGTGTGTGCGTGTGTGTGTGTGAGAGTGTGCGTGTGTGAGAATGTGTGTGTGTGTGTGAGAGTGTGTGAGAGAGTGTGTGTGTGTGTGTGTGCGTGTGCGTGTGCGTGTGTGAGTGAGAGTGTGTGTGTGTGTGAGTGTCTGTGTGTGTGTGAGTGTGTGTGAGTGTGAGTGAGAGTGTGTGAGTGTGAGTGTGAGTGTGTGAGAGTGTGTGTGTGTGAGTGTGCGTGTGTGTGTGGGTGAGTGTGTGTGTGAGAGTGTGTGTGAGAGTGTGTGAGTGTGTGTGAGAGTGTGTGTGTGTGAGTGAGTGAGTGTGAGTGTGTGTGTGAGTGTGAGTGTGTGAGAGTGTGTGTGTGTGTGTGAGAGTGTGAGTCTGTGAGTGTGTGTGTGTGAGTGTGAGTGTGTGTGAGTGTGTATGTGAGTGTGTGAGTGTGAGTGTGTAGAGGAGGTCTGACCCCCTTGGGGGTGGGGTGGCTCCCACGTGTGCGCGCAGCTCCCTGTGTTGGGAGCCAGTGGCACCTGAGCAGGAGGCCCTGTCCCAGCAGCAGGCGTCGTGGGGGCTGTGAGGCGGTGGGGGCTCTGAGGCGGTGGGGGCTCTGAGGCGGTGGGGGGCTCTGAGGCGGTGGGGGGCTGTGAGGCGGTGGGGGGCTCTGAGGCGGTGGGGGGCTGTGAGGCGGTGGGGGGCTCTGAGGCGGTGGGGGCTCTGAGGCGTGTGGGGGGCTCTGAGGCGGTGGGGGGCTCTGAGGCGGTGGGGGGCTCTGAGGCGGTGGGGGGCTCTGAGGCGGTGGGGGGCTCTGAGGCGGTGGGGGGCTCTGAGGCGGTGGGGGCTGTGAGGCGGTGGGGGGCTGTGAGGCGGTGGGGGGCTCCGAGGCGGTGGGGGGCTGTGAGGCGGTGGGGGGCTCCGAGGCGGTGGGGGGCTCTGAGGCGTGGGGGGGGCTCCGAGGCGGTGGGGGGCTCTGAGGCGGTGGGGGCTCTGAGGCGGTGGGGGGCTCCGAGGCGGTGGGGGGCTGTGAGGCGGTGGGGGGCTGTGAGGCGGTGGGGGGCTCCGAGGCGGTGGGGGGCTCCGAGGCGGTGGGGGGCTCCGAGGCGGTGGGGGGCTGTGAGGCGGTGGGGGGCTGTGAGGCGGTGGGGGGCTCTGAGGCGGTGGGGGGCTCCGAGGCGGTGGGGGGCTCTGAGGCGGTGGGGGGCTCCGAGGCGGTGGGGGGCTCTGGGGCGGCCTCGCAGAGGGGCCGGAAAGGCGCTCCCGTCTGGGTTTGGGACGGGACGTCACCAAGCGCTGAGGGTTATGGCTGCGCCACACCGCGCCCACCCAGCAGCCTGAGGCACAGCGAGGGCCGTGTGCCAGGGAGACGTGCGGCCCCCTGCAGCCGCACCCCAAGACGCGAGCCTCAGCCCCCTCTCCGCAGGTCCGCGTCGCGCTGCAGCTGGACGACGGCTCCCGGCTGCAGGGCGCCTTCTGCTCCGGGCAGACCCTGTGGGAGCTCCTCGGCCACTTCGCTCAGACCAGGTGAGGGCCCGGCCGGCAGGCGGGCAGTGCTGTCGCCAGCAGCCGGGGGCGGGCCTGCCCTATCGTGTTCAGAGAGGAAGGAAGAGGGAGGGGAGATAGAAACATCAGTGATCTGGGATCGAGCTCACAGCCCGGGCAGGTGCCTTGACTGGGAGTCGAACCGTGACCTCCTGGTTCACAGGTCGATGTTCAACCCCTGAGCCACACGGCTGGGTGTGGGTCACGTTTAAGGAGAAAGGGTTGATGATGATGGGCGTGCGGTTTCTGCCCCTTTAAGCTGGCCTCTCTGTGATGGAGGTCTGTCCCCTGTGCAGCTCCCGGCAGGGGGAGGGGACTCCGCAGCGGAGGCGCAGAGGCAGGGCACGGCTCCGTGTGGGGACCACCGGGGCGCGAGCGGGAGAGAAGCGGGGCCTCCGTGGGAAGGCGCAGGGAGAGGCCCTGTGGGGGAGGGCGGGCCCTGCGGGCCCTCGGCCGGTCAGGTCACCGGCCGGGGCGGGCTGCTTCTGGCTGAGCTGAAGGTGTCGTCACGCGGGGACGGTGGCGACCGCTCCTGCAGGAAAGAGGTGATGGCAGGGGGCCCCGCAGCCCGTGGGATCTGTCCGTCCGTAACGCGGGGGGCTGTGCCCCAAGTCGCCAGCGCCCTTTCTTGGTTGCGTATGAGTGGATCACGTGTCTCCTTAGCGATCCCTTCGGCGCCATCGCCACGCTGCCGTCCTGACAGCGCAGCCGGCCGGAGGCCTGTGCGCCCCGTTCCTCCTGAGGGGGTTCCCAAGGCAGAGCGGCTGGGCCAGCAGTGAGGGCAGCCCCACGTGTCAGCAGCTCCCTGTGCCCGCGGGACAGGCCGGGGCCTGATTGGCCGGGGCCACACGGGGGCGGCAGGAGCCAGGCCCTCCTGGGCTGCAGGGTCAGCTCCCGCGCCCGGCCCCGTGGTCCTTGGGGAAGAGGCAGCCCCAGGGCAGGTGGCGTGCAGTCGCGGTGGAGCCTGGGGGGTGAGTGGGCAGCAGCCACGTGGCTCGGGCAGGGCCTCTGCATGGGGATCAGGGAGTTGGGGCCACTCACTAACCACATGGCACACCACGTGGGTCACATGCGCGTGCCGAGAGGTGGTCAGGAATCCCGGTCAGCCACATCAGAGGAGAGTAAGAGCACGGGCAGTTGACTTTAGGAATTTGATGGACTTGACTCAGTACGTCCCGAACGTTTCCCTGTGGCTGTGCCCGCAGGCAGAGTGAGGGGTTCTGGGATTTGTGGCAGGAGGAGTCTTAGCGGGAGCTCAGGGCCCACCGGCTGGTCGCTGCCTCGGACGCACTGCCTGCACCTGGACTGCCAGGCCCGGCCGGCATCTGCCCGAGGCCTGGGCCCTCTGCTCGTCCGCCCGCCTCCCCCCGAGGGCCCCCCAGGCACTGAGTGTCCCTGGGAGGCCGGCCTGCCTGCTCCCCCTGCGGGGGGTGGTGTGCCATCCCGGGACCCTGCAGGCGGCAGAGGCGGTGCCAGGGCGTCCCCCCGGCTCCCACAGCCCCTGCGATCCTGGGGAAAGAGGCTGCTTCCCGCCTGTCCTCTCCGTCCGCCTGAGGGGGCGGGCCCTGCGGCCGGGCCTCCTCTCCCTTCGCTCGGCTCCGTCTCTGCGGGGCTGCCGTGGGTGGCGGGGAGTCTCCACCGAGGGGCCCTCCGAGCCTGAAGGCCGGCTCTGAGTTTGGGGGGTTCTGGTTCCCGCATGGGGACTCGGTGCCAGGCGGCTTGTTCAGGTCCAAACCGGTGACGGGACAGGGCTCCTGCACTGGGGTCCCATCCGAGGGGTGGCCCACGCCTGTGGGCGGGCGCTCTGAGGGAGCCCAGGGCATCTTAGCCCCGGCAGGCACACCCACCGCACGGTGCCGTCTGGGGAGGGGGCAGGGCACCCCCGGGAGCGCCACACGACGCCGTCTGCTGGGCCTGTGCCACCCTCGGGCGCTCCGACGGCTCAGCCCGGAGACAGGCTGGGACGCGGAGGGTGTGAGGGCGGCTCCCGAGCTGGAATGTCCCTGTCCAGGAGCGAGCGGCTGCTAACGGGCGGGAAGGTCTGGAAGTGATTGCGCCGCCCGCCTCGCGTGTTTACAGGCGTCGCCCTCAGATCCACTCGAACCCGATCCCTCTGAGGAAGCACATCAAAGCCGGGCGGGCGTTTGATGTCGGAGGCTGTGCCGCAGGCCTCCCTCGCGCTGTGATCTGGTCCCGCTGGGCTGGCGCGGGGTCCCTGGGGACGGCCGGGCTGGCACTGGGGCCTGTGTGTTCCGAGGCCGGGCACCGGGCCGGTGGGCTGGGCCCAGGCCTGGGGTGCCCTGACCAGGCTCTCAGCTCGGGTCTCCCCCTTCCTGCAGGGACCTCGGAGGGTGCGGGGGCTGGTGGTGCCCGGGCAGGGGCAGGGCTGCCCCTCAGAGGCCACACAGCTGGCTCTGGGGATGGGTCTTGGCCTGGGCAGCACACACATGTAGAAGCTAAAAGCAAAGGACACACGGGCAGCGCCCACGCCAGAGCCACGCAGAGGGCCCGTCGCGTCTCGTCCCGCGTGTGCACGGGGCGTGTGCACAGGGCGTGTACAGCAGCCGGGGACCTGCTGCTCGGGCCCAGAGGGGCCAGTTCAGCTCCACGTTCTTCGTCCCAGCACGTCCCTGGCGAGTGAGCCCCGAGGCGAGACAGTGACCCTGAGGTCACAGGCTGCCCTGGGGAGGGGGCTGGGGGCGGTTCCGTGTCAGGAAATGCAGGAGTGGACATCCCTCCCCTCCCCCGTCCCTCCAGGCCTCCAGCTCCCCAGCCTGTGCGTGGCCGGGGGTGCTGGGGGCCGGGGGTGTGGGCTGGGGGTGCTGGGGGCCCGGGGTGCTGGGGGCCGGGGGTGCTGGGGGCCGGGGGTGTGGGCTGGGGGTGCTGGGGGCCGGGGGTACTGGGGGCTGGGGGTGTGGGCTGGGGGTGCTGGGGGCCGGGGGTGCTGGGGGCCGGGGCTGTGGGCTGGGGGTGCTGGGGGCCGGGGGTACTGGGGGCTGGGGGTGTGGGCTGGGGGTGCTGGGGGCCGGGGGTGTGGGCGGGGGGTGCTGGGGGCCGGGGGTGCTGGGGGCTGGGGGTGCTGGGGGCCGGGGGTGTGGGCTGGGGGTGCTGGGGGCCGGGGGTACTGGGGACTGGGGGTGTGGGCTGGGGGTGCTGGGGGCCGGGGGTGTGGGCGGGGGGTGGTGGGGGCCAGGGGTGCTGGGGGCTGGGGGTGTGGGCTGGGGGTGCTGGGGGCCGGGGGTGTGGGCTGGGGGTGCTGGGGGCCGGGGGTGCTGCGGGCCAGGGGTGTGGGCCTGGGGTGTGGGCTGTGGGTGCTGGGAGCCAGGGGTGCTGCGGGCTGGGGGGGGTGCTGCGGGCTGGGGGGGTGCTGCGGGCCGGGGGGGTGCTGGGGGCCGGGGGTTGCTGCGGGCCGGGGGGGTGCTGCGGGCCGGGGGGGTGCTGCGGGCCGGGGGGGTGCTGGGGGCCGGGGGTTGCTGCGGGCCGGGGGGGTGCTGGGGGCCGGGAGTGCTGCGGGCTGGGGGTGCTGCGGGCCGGGGGTGCTGTGGGCTGGGGGTGCTGCGGGCTGGGGGTGCTGCGGGCCGGGGGGTGCTGCGGGCCCAGGGTACATGCAGGTGTGTGGGCACGTGAGTGTGCGGCTGCACACACGCCCAGCCTGCCTCCAGGCTGCTCTGTCCTCGGGGTCTCGTCGTGAGGGAGAGGATGCTGGTGGCCAGGCGGGGTGGGCGGTGCCCACTGCCCTCTTCCTGGGGAGCCTGGGCGGCCTCTGTGGGGCTCTGGGCTCCGGGTGCCTGCCCAGAGCACCGGGTCCCGTGCCCGCGCTGGCTCTGATGTCCTTCCCTCCTGCAGGGCATGTCTGGAGCAGCCGTGCGAGGCCAGCCCGGTCTGCGTGTACATGAGGGATGAGGTAGGACTGCGGCCCCACCCGCCTGGCCGGCTCCCGCGGCCACGCGGCCCAGCCTGGTTTCCAGCCTGGAAGCCCCCTCTGCCTCTGCCTCTGCCTCTGCCTCTGCCTCTCCCTCTGCCTCTGCCCCTCTCCCTCTGCCCCTCTCCCTCTGCCCCTCTCCCTCTGCCCCTCTCCCTCTCCCTCTCCCTCTGCCCCTGTCCCCCTCTCCCTCTGCCCCTCTCCCCCTCTCCCTCTGCCCCTCTCCCTCTGCCCCTCTCCCTCTGCCCCTCTCCCCCTCCCCCTCTCCCTCTCCCTCTCCCTCTCCCCCTCTCCCCCTCTCTCTCTGCCCCTCTCCCTCTGTCCCTCTCCCTCTGTCCCTCTCCCTCTGTCCCTCTCCCTCTGCCCCTCTCCCTCTCCCTCTCCCTCTGCCCCTCTCCCTCTGCCTCTGCCTCTGCCTCTGCCTCTGCCTCTGCCTCTGCCTCTGCCTCTGCCTCTCCCTCTCCCTCTCCCTCTCCCTCTCCCTCTGCCCCTCTGCCTCTGCCTCTCTCCCTCTCTCCCTCTCTCCCTCTCCCTCTCTGCCTCTCCCTCTCCCTCTGCCCCTCTCCCTCTGCCTCTGTCTCTGTCTCTCCCTCTGCCTCTCCCTCTCCCTCTGCCTCTCTCTCTCTCCCTCTGCCCCTCTCCCCTTCTCCCTCTGCCTCTGCCCCTCTTCCTCTGCCCCTCTCCCTCTGCCCCTCTCCCTCTCCCTCTCCCTCTCCCTCTGCCTCTGCCTCTGTCTCTGCCTCTCACTCTGCCTCTCCCTCTCCCTCTCCCTCTCCCTCTCCCTCTCCCTCTCCCTCTCCCTCTCTCTCTCTCCCTCTGCCCCTCTCCCTCTGTCCCTCTCCCTCTGTCCCTCTCCCTCTGTCCCTCTCCCTCTGCCCCTCTGCCTCTGTCCCTCTCCCTCTGTCCCTCTCCCTCTGCCCCTCTGCCTCTCCCTCTCCCTCTCCCCCTCTCCCTCTGCCCCTCCCCCCCTCTCCCTCTCCCTCCCCCCCTCTCCCTCTCCCTCTCCCTCTGCCCCTCTCCCTCTGCCCCTCTCCCTCTACCCCTCCCCCCTCTCCCTCTCCCTTTGCCCCTCTGCCTCTCCCTCTTCCTCTGCCCCTCTCCCCTTCTCCCTCTGCCTCTCCCTCTCCCTCTCCCTCTCCCTCTCCCTCTCTCCCTCTCCCTCTGCCTCTCCTTCTGCCTCTGCCTCTGCCTTCAAAGTGCCGAGGGCTCTGAAGGCCCCAGTGTTCCCTGGAAAAGGGGCCGCTCCGCGGGAACTGACCACGGCCGGCACTCCCGGACTCCAGCGCCCTGTTTGTTTTCTCAGCTTCTCCAAAGCCCGAGAGTCACAAAAGTGGTTTCATTTTAATAAATATTTGCTTTGCTCCGTTTTGATCTTTTCCAAAACTGAGCGCAGGGCGGAGGGGCCCAGCTGGCAGAGGCCCTGCCCACCCCCCGCCTGCCACGCGGGACCCTCCTGGCGCTCAGGCCCTGGCTCAAGGGGCCTTTTGTTGGATCCTGGCTGAGGGCCCGCTCCTGGCCCGGGGTGGCCACTGTCCCCGAGGGCCCAGGAGGCCGTGGGGGCCGGACGCTCGCGAGGAAGGGGTTCTGGGCTGTGAGGGGAGGGGCCTGGGGTGGACACCTGGGCCCCAGTGAGGGCCGTCATGGTCATTGCAGCCCTCAGAGGGCCGGTCATGTGGCCAGTGTTGCTCTCCCAGGCCTCGGGCTGGGGACAGACCCAGGCCTGGGAGCAGATGCTTGGGTGCAGCTGGGGAGCGGGTGCCTGGGCCTCAGCCCCAGGCTGGCTGGGAGCCGTGGCGTCAGGCAGTGGCCGGGCTGGGTGGCGGGTAGGTGGGTCAGGCAGTGGGCCAGCCTGGCCACTGTCCTGTCTCCTTGCAGGTGACCGGGAGAGCCGCCTTGCAGAGCACGACGCTGCTGTCCCTGGGCCTCACCGGGGGCAGCGCCATCATCAGGTGAAAGCGGGAAGGTGGGAACGTGAGGGACATGTGCCCGTGGCCCCCGTCCGAGGCCCCTGCGTGGGGCGGGGCAGCGAGGCCGCGGCTGAGGCGTGGGCGTCCCTCTCTCCGGCCCCAGGTTTGCCATGAGGTCATGCGACTCGGCCGCCACGCAGCAGCCCGGGGGCTCCCGGAGCGGGAGCCCGGCCAGCCCCACCCCCTCGCCGGCGGCCGAGCAGGCCAGCGGCCCGCTGCTCCCGGCGGCCTCGGCGGGGCTCGGCCGGGGCGACGTGAGCCGCCGGGACACGGCGGGCCCCTTGGCGGCCGGCAGCGCGGAGGAGCCCCCGGCCAAGCACATCCCGGAGGAGCCCAGGCCGCCCCCCTTCGTGCCCTTCTCGGGCGGCGGGCAGCGCCTGGGCGGCCCCTGCGGGTCCTCGCGGTGCCTGACCGCCCCGGCCGCCAAGCTGCCCAAGTCCTTCTCCAGCCCCGGAGGCCCCTCCAAGCCCAAGAAGTCGCGGCCCCCGCCGGAGCCGGAGCCGGAGCCGGTAAGCGGGCGGGCGCCGGTCCTCCCTCACCGCGCCGGCCGCGGGGGCTGGCTCGCCGGGCCTTCCCAGGAAGGGCTGCTGGATTGGTTCGTCTGGACCGGCCTCTTGGCCGCCCCTTTCAGATGGGGTTCGACAGGTTTCCACAAACTGGCCGCACCCCCTGCCTGCCCTCGCCCCTGGCCCCTGGCCTGGGCCTGGGCTCGCACTCCTGTCCGGCCGCGCCTCCGCCAGGCGGCGGCGCTGACATGGCTGCGGCTTGGGTCTTGGCTGCCCCAGGATGCACTGGTGTCTACAAACTGCTTTTCTACTCGGAAACACGTCTGTCCTCCCGGTGCAGACACGTCTGTCCTCCCGGTGCAGACACGTCTGTCCTCCCGGTGCAGACACGTCTGTCCTCCCGGTGCAGACACGTCTGTCCTCCCGGTGCAGACACGTGGTGGGGCCGGCGGCCGTGGGGCCGGGCCGGTCGGCAGGAGCCCTTTCCCCCGTGGGCAGGCCAGGCCGGGCTCCACTCCATCTCGGGTGTCGGGAGTGAAGGGACTGGAGCCGCGGCCTGTAGGCCCGGCCGTCTCCCTGGGGCCCAGTTCTGCCCCAGGCCGAGCCGGGAGCCGGGGGCGGGGGTGTTGGACGTGGAATGGAGCCGGGTCCTGCAGGGGGTAGGCGGCCAGATTCCCTCCTGCTCCCACACTGCTGTGGTTCTGCCGAGCGGACAGGGAGGGGGGGCCAGCCCACCTGAGCTCAGGGATGTTTACCCGGGTGGGGGGGCAGTGGCTGATGTCGGGGCCGTGTTAGAACCAGTACCATCCCCAGCCTCACCCTGTGGCGCTGGGCCCAGAGTTGGTGGCTGAAAGCAGGCCAATGCGTGTGGTGGGTTGAGCTGGTGCTGGGGGCTCCCTCTGAGCCTGAGCTTTTGGGGGACCCTGGGTTGGGGGCCGGGACTGGCTGCTCCCTCCGGGGCTGCGTGGAGGGGCCTGGCTCTCTGTGCTCAGGGAACCTGCTGAGGGTCCCGGGGGCACCCAGGGGTGGCGTGGGCTTGTGCTGCCCGCAGGGGTGCTGACCGGCCAGGATCCCTGCGCCCCCTGCCTGCCCGGCCCCGGGCGGGGCGCCTGGCCGCCAGCAGCTCCTTTGATCCCGGAGCCCGGCAGCTGTCTGGGGCGTCCCGCCGTCTCGCGCCTCCGTCACTGACAACCGCACTCCAGGGGCCTCGGCCACATGGTGTCTGCTTTGTGTCCCTTGCAGTTGGGGGAGGGGAGGGAACAAACAGAACTTGGGGGGAACTTCAAAGGTGCACTCCGCGATCAGAAGCCCGACTCCGTTAATGCTCCCGCGTGCGGCTCTGGGCTTACATAGTCGGAGACAGGATAAAATACAGGCGGCCCTCCGAGGCGGGATGGTTTACAGACCGCGGCTCCGGCTTTGATGTCACACATTAATTATTAGAGGTAGTTTACTGGCCATCGGACGGGCGGGAACTGCTGGGCCCCTGGCCTTTGAAGTCCTTCCTGGCCGGCCGGCCGCCCTCCGCGCGCTCGCGTGGGGCAGCGTCCCAGCGGGCCCACAGCCGGCACGGGCTGATCAAAGCGCTGCTCCCGGCAGGACGGGCTGACGTGCTTCCCTGCGCTGTCGCCCTCCGGGGGGGCCGCACTGCCTCCGCACCTCGCCCGGCTCAGGGCGCCCGCCCCCGGCTCCCCTCCTCGGCCTGCGGGGCGCCTCCCCAGGACTTCCCCGGGAGCCCGCCCCCTGCCTGTCCCCGGCGGTCCCTGCGGGGCGCCAGGGTGTGTGGGTGCCCAGCCCGGCCCCGGCCCAGCCCCAGGCGTGCGGCAGGTGTGGCCCCCGGCCTGTCGTGCCCTGCGGGCCAGGACGCGGGGGGCTGCGCGGAACCCTGAGGGCCCACACGCCCGCCTCCTGCAGGTGCTGGGGGTCCTGGTGCGAGGCCGTCCTGTGCCCTGTGCCTTGTGCCCTGACCGGGCCCGAACCCTGACCTCCCGGTTCACAGGGCGACGCTCGGCCCTGAGCTGCGTGGCCTGGCCGTACACTTCTCCTTAGAAAACTGCCGTTTTTGCTCCAAAAGGTCGGTGGGCCCAGTGCTTCCGGGACTGAGGGCCAGGCTTCGGCCCGCCCGGATTGGGGTCCTCCCTGCCTCCGGGCGGCTGGCGGGAGTAACTCGGGGTGTGGCCTGCCCCTCGGTAGGGACTCAGCTCAGCTCCCAGCCTCACGGGGAAGCGCTTGGCATCCCGCCCGTCCAGCCGCGGGGGAGGGGAGAGCCCCGAGGAAGGGGGTCTGGGCCGGAGGTCCCCTCTTGGCTTCTGCCTTCCCGCCGAGTGCAGCACGTCCTGGGAAGTTCCTCCCAGAAAAGGGAGCCTCCGCCGTGCGGCCGCCCCAGCCCCGTGGCCCGCCGGGACCCTCGCCGTCTGGCCTGTTGGACACGTGGCCGCACTGGGCGTGGTGTGGCCCCGCGGCCGTGCTGTCCCCTGGCTCCCTCCATCCCATCCGGGCCCGTCCCGTGGGGCAGGGACTCTGAAGGCCGGCCGGCAGCTGGCGGGTGTCACCGACCCCTCCACAGGCCTGTCGCCGGGCGACGCTCCCGTCCCTCCTCCTGGGCCCCGGGCCACGTCCGCCCTCCGCGCCCGCCCCCCCGAGCCCGCCCCCAAGGGCCCAGCAGCGTAGTGACCGGCGGTTCAGGCGGGAGGTCTCTGTTGTTTAGAGCCCGTGGCCGTGCACCCGCTGTGGGTTCATCTTGGCCCCTCGGCCGGCCGGGCCTCTCCCCTCGGCCCCTCTCCCCTCGGCCGGGGCAGGGAGCCGGGCGGGGAGCCGGTGCGGGGGAGCCCGCCCGGGCCCAGCGGCCGCAGGAGCAGGTGGGGGCCATGTGCTCTCTGGGCGGCTCCACCGTGTGTGCCGATCAGCACCCCCTGCAGGGCCCCCCCACCCGCTGCTGCGCCGAGGGCGAGGCGGCGCTGAGGGCGAGGCTGTGCCAGACTTTCCGCCCGAGGCCCGTCCTGGCCGTGCCCGGCGGCTCCGCTCGGCTCCCGTCCTGCCCGCCTCCCCTGGGAGCAGCAGCCCCTCAGGAATGCAGGCGCCTGGCTGTGGGGGGCGGCGGCGCCTGGCATCTCGTTATAAAAAGCTCTGGCGCAGAGAGCCTGGGGCGCTGCAGGAAGGCTGCGGCTTTGAAGGGGCAGCTCCCGGAGCCTCGGCCCCCACCTCGGGCTGGGCTGCCCTTCCCGGCCCGGCTTCGGGCCAGCGGGCCTCCTCGGCCGCCCCCCTCCCAGGAGGGCAGGGACCACAGGCCTGTGCTGCGGGAGGGCCCGGGGCACCTGTTGCCCGAACGCCGAGGTCCGGGGTCTGGCTGAGCCGGGGCTGTGGCCAGGCCGGGCCCTGGGGAGGGACGATCAGACAGGCTGGTCCCCGGTGAGAAACAGGAGGGGGACACCAAGCTGGGGGGCGTGGGGGCGGCAGGAGCAGAGGGCAGCTTCCTGGCGGCCCTTCTGTGGAGGACGGGGCCTGGCTGGACACCCGCCGGCCAGCGCCCCAAGGTGCCCCACGCTCGCTGCAATTAGCCCCCGGAGCGCCACACGCAGAGCGGCTGCCTTGTAATTTCCAGCGACCTTCTGTCAATTAGGGTGGCGCTGTCCCTTCCTGTGTCCGCGGTGGGCAGGCACGCCAGGCTGCTCCCCTGGGGAGGGCAGGGGGCAGCGGTGCCAGGTTTTGCCAGGCCTCTAATTTGGGGGCTGCCGCTTCCCCTGCTCCTCCCTTGGAGCCCCGACGTGGTCTGGACCAGGGCACTGCGCCCCAGGAAGTGAGCGAGGGGCCGCGGGCGGGCGGGCGGGCGGGCGGGCATCCCTCACCGCCGCCTGGGCCTGGCGAGACCGGGCTGGGAGTGAGGCACGTCCCACGCCCACCCCGAGGCCTGGCCACAGGCTGGGGGCCGGGCTTGGCATGGGTGCACGGCGTGTGTGTGCCCGCAGCCGGTGGACCGGGACCCCGTGGTGTGCCACCCGGACCTGGGGGAGCTGCTGCAGGCCTGGCCCGCCGAGCTGCCCGACGAGTTCTTCGAGGTGACGGTGGACGACGTGCGGAGGCGCCTGGCCCAGCTCAAGAGCGAGCGGTGGGTGTGCCCGCCCCGCCTCCCACTTCCCACCCTGCTTCCTGCCAAGGCCCCCGGCCCCACGCCGGCCCCCAGGCCCCCGCCGGCCCCACGCCCGTCCCCCAGCCCCACGCCCGTCCCCCGGCCCCACGCTGGCCCCACGCTGGCCCCCAGCCCCACGCTGACCCCAGACCCACACCAGCCGCATCTGGGGTCCTGTCATCCGGCCCGGGAGCGGGGGCCTGTCACCCTCTCTGGCGGAGACTGCACCCTCACCCGCCCCCTCCCTCCCACAGGAAGCGCCTGGAAGAGGCCCCCCTAGTGACCAAGGCCTTCAGGGAGGCCCAGATGAAGGAGAAGCTGGAGCGATACCCGAAGGTGTGGGCGGGCGGCGGGGGCAGGTGGCCGAGCAGCTCCTGGGCTGGTGCACAGGCTGCTGTGCGTGCTCCCCAGCCTGGGCTCAGTCAGCAGCGGCGGCTTCAGGATGGAAACAGTCTGCACGGGCGGGGCGGCACCCGGCGGCTGCACCGCCACCTGCCCCGGTCCCGGTCTGCCCCGGGGGTCCTGTCGCTGTGGGCCCAGGGGCGCAGCTGCCTCCTGCCGGGCAGGGCTCCCGTTCTGACCGTGCGGCTTGTCCGGCCAGGTCGTACTGAGGGTGCTGTTTCCCGACCGCTACATCCTGCAGGGCTTCTTCCGCCCCAGCGAGACAGGTAGGGCCTGGCCCAGATGCTCCCTGGCCGTGGGGCCTGCGCCCAGGGAGCGGGGCTGGAGGGGCAGGCAGTGGGCTCTGAGCTCGCGAGCGTGCCGGGTGCTTGTCAGGGCCGCTCACCCCCCTTCCTCCTCAGTGGGGGACCTGCGGGACTTTGTGAGGAGCCACCTGGGGAACCCTGAGCTGCCCTTCCACCTGTGTGAGTACTGCTCCCGCGCCCACGGCCAGCTCTGCCGCCAGCCGAGGGCTGGGGTCCTGGCAGGGGGCTGCCCCTCACCCCCCCACCCGAGCCCCTCACCAGGGTTTTTGCTGCAGCAGAGAAGTGGGTAGAGGCTGTGGACTGAGGGTCCTTCTAGGACAGCCCCCCTGAGGCTGCTGGCCCTCCAGCCAGGCTTCCCTGGCGAGGGGCAGGGGCGAGGGGTGAGGGGCAGGGGCGAGGGGCGAGGGGCAGGCGGCGAGGGGCAGGGGTGAGGGGCGAGGGGCGAGGGGCAGGGGCGAGGGGCGAGGGGCGGGCGGCGGGCCTTCCTCACCGCACACTCTCTCCCCAGTCATCACTCCTCCAAAAACCATCCTGGAGGACCACACGCTGACCCTCTTTCAGGTACTGGCTGCTGGCTTGGGGGTGGGCTCTGCAGGTCAAGGCCAAGGTCAGGGGCGGTCTCCCTGAGGCCAGGACGGGGAGAGGGGGTGGTAGATGCAGTCTCTATCGTTGGCCTTGTGCTTGCTTCCTGCCTCCTCCGCTGCAGCCCTGGGGCCCTTTGGCTGCGGGTTCCTGCCGGGTCTGGGTGGATAGGGGCCCACAGGCAGGGCAGCTGGGGCAGGTCCTGAGGTCCAGCGTCAGAGCACTCGCTGCAGGTGGCCTGCTGCCGTGGAGGCCCTGCTGCCTGCTCCCTGCCTGCCTTCTCGGCCGGCCTCCCCGCGGGCTGCCCTGGGCCCCCCTGGCTGCTCCTGGAGGGTGAGCAGTGTTGACCCAGCGCCTGCTGGGCCGCCTCCAGAGCAGGAGGAATGTCCTGTCCTCAAGGGAGGGCAGCCCGGGGCCTCCCCAGCCGGCCTAATGGTTTCCTCTTCAAAGCGGCCTCAGATATTTTAATTACTAACAGGCCAGCCCTCTTTAAGTGGCCCGCAGGCCTGCGAGGGCTGAGCTGGGGCTGCCGCTGGGTCGCAGGGAGAGGGGACGAGACGGGGCAGAGCTGGCCGCTCACCAGGAACGGAGTCGCAGTGGGGGGCAGCCCAGGAGCTGAAGTGGGGTGCTCACCCGCCTGCCCCCCAGCAGCCTGCCCCCTCCCGCAGCCTGTTGATGCACCGGATTGGAAGGTGCTTTGGGAGGGGACCAACCCCCGTTAGGAGCCCTGGGTGTGCCCGCCCTCTCGGCCTCATTTCTGTGACTGACCCCAACTACCAGCAGCCGTCTCCTTTCATCCGTCACCCGCGGGCCCTGGGGCGGCCTCCGGGGCGGCCCTGCCCGGATCAGAGCTGGCAGCTCGGCAGGAAGCCTCCGCCCCCAGGGGGGGCAGCGCGGAAGCCGCGGCTCCCATGTCCCTGGCAGGCCGCACGCTGGCTGCTGCCCGAGCTGCTGGGGCCTGCCTGTGTTCCGGGGGCGACCGTGTGGTGGGGCAGCGGCCCAGCTGCCCGCTTGGCTGCTGGACCAGGACTGTCTAGGAGCGGCCGGGCTATGAGGGTGCAGTCAGTGGGCACAAAGGCCCCCAACACCCCCAGCAAACCTTCCTGGGCCGGAGCCCCCGCCCCCCGCCCAGGCCCCAGGCCTCACCTCTGGGTGCGAAGCCCCTGCGTCTGGGAGCCCTCCGCTGGCAGGCCTCCCTGGTGTCTGGTCTGCAGTCACCTGTTTGTTGGATCCCAGACACAGGCCAGTGGGCGGGGCTTCGGCCAGGTGGGAGGGGAGGCCCTCCGGGCTGGAAGACTATGGCCCCGCCCACCAGGTGGGCTGGGGGTGGGGGCCTGGAAATAGGAGATGCTGCCACGTGGGTGCTAAGGGGAGTCCCGGCATCTGGCGGTCCCACTGAGCCAGTCTGGCCTTGCTGGGAGGGCGGGTTCTGTCCTACCACACCCCTCCGTTCCTTGGCCACCTCCAGCCCAGTTTCCCAATGTCGCGGTCCTTGTCTGTCACCCACCTCGCCTCCGAGTGCGGAGCGGAGCTGCTGAGGCGAGGACACGGCTCGGAGGGGGCACTGCCCTGGGTCAGCCATGGGACCGCAGCCATGGCCCTCAGGGCAGTCAGTGAGGGCAGGTGCAGGCTGTCCAGGCTCCGGGGCCGCCCCTCCCCTCTCAGTGCCTGCCTGGCCCCTGAGCTCCCGCTGCCCTTCCTGCAGGCAAACCTCTTCCCAGCCGCCCTGGTGCACTTCGGGGCCGAGGAGCCAGCAGGTGAGTGGGTGCGGAGCAGGGCCTGCTTTTGGGCCTGGAAGGGAGACCTGTGGTCTGATCCCCCCCACCCCCCCGGGCTCTGGGGCAGCCCCCAGCCCTGGCCCCGCCGTGGGGCCTGAGGTGCTGCCGCCTGCAGGTCTCTATCTGGAGCCCAAGCTGCTGGAACACACCGTCTCCCCATCAGCAGCCGACGTGCTGGTGACCAGGTGAGAGCCCGGCGCGGGCGGTGCCCGGGAGGGAGGGCCCGCCGCAGGCTCGCCACCTGTGCATGGCCTCCTCCTGCAGGTGCATGTCCAGGACCTCCGTGCCCCCGTCCCCGCTGCCAGCCCCTGACCCCGTGCCCCTCGAGTCGGAGGCAGCTGCCGAGGAGGGTGCCAGGGCGCCTCCTGAGCCCAGCCCTGGGACAGTCCAGCCCCTGAGGAGGGACCTGGGCAAAGTGCCCAAATGGCTAAAGCTGCCAGGTACTCCGAGGGCGGCCGGCCGGCTGGGCCGGGCCGGGAGGGCGGCCGGGCGGGAGCTGGGCTCCAGGTCACATGTTGCATTGCAGCCAGCAAGAGGTGAGCCGCCAGCCGGAGGTGCCCATCGGCCGGGAACAGGACCTCCTCCTCACCCGAGTGCCAATAAAGACTGAGCATCTCCTGAGAGACCCTGTTCTTTCTCAGAAAGGGCCGCAGCCCTCGCCCGGCCGCCTCCCTACACTGCCCACCTTCCAGGCTCCTGGGCACGGCCTCCAGCCTGGGACCGGGCAGCCGCAGCCTGGCTGGCCCTCGGCGTGCCAGTCCCTTTGCCGGGCCTGTTCTCCTCGTGGCTTTGCTTCATTGCCATCATCCATCCCCGCCTCCAGGCCTGGCCTGTGGGCACAGGCCGGCACCTTGCCCTGCCACCCTAGGATGGGCTGGCAGCCTGGCCTGAAGGGCCCCCCCCCCCCTCCCGGGCACTGGCCCTTCAAGTTTAGGCGCTCCCATGGGCTCCCATACTGCCGAGGTGCTGGGAGAGGATGGAGGAGTGGAGGCTGGGAGGAGTGCAGGACGGGACCAGCAGGCCAAGTGCGGGATGGAGGGCCAGGAGGGGGGCAGGTCCTGGTGGAGGGGGTAAGCTCTGCCCCAGCCCCTAATCACTGGACCGAGCCCTCTGGGTGTTCCCGTCCTGGGCACTGTCGATGCAGCTTTCAGAGTTAAGGGGGGTGGGGGGTGAGGTTGGGGTGTTGGCCCCACGCCTCCCTGCAGGGTGGAGGGGTAGGCTTGGGGGCTGTAAACCTGACTCTGGGTGGTGAATGGCAACGGGAGGCTCTGCCTGGGAGAAGGGCCTGATTTATTGCCGTTGCTGTGAGAACAGGCTTACAGCTCGGGAGGCGTTTGGGAGCAGCATACGGGAGGAGGGCCACCAGCTCTGATGTCATGCAGGGCTGTGCAGCCGCTGTCTGCCGGCCACAGCCTGGTCCCCACACAGCGGCCCCACAGCTGCGGCCAGGCCGTGAGCAGGACAGACAGCCCCGAGGGACGACAGTGCATGTGCTGTCCCCCCAGTGCTGGGCCAGACGAGCGTCTCGGAGCAGCAGCCAGAGGCCACAGACACGGGTGCTGGGCTGGGTCGGGAGCCGGACAGGTGGCCTCTGCAGTGGGCGCCTAGAAGTCCAGAAGCTGTGGGGGGAGAGTGCTCAGAGCCCGCCCTGCCCTCGGCTCAGCCTGCTCGGGGACAGGAAGCAGATGCCCGGCCACCTACCAGCTGCGGCAGCACCTTCTCCAGCTGCTCCACATCCACACAGGGCAGGTCCTCGGCCTGGGCCTGCCGGATGCTGCGGACGGTCGCCTCTGCCGGGACCGGAGGGAAGTGAGCAGCCAGGCCGAGGCCGTGACCCCAACCCCCCGGCCTCAGCCCAGCAGCTCAGGAGGCCTCAGACGGCATGGGCAAAGGGGAGCCGTGCCGTGCCGGTGGGACCAGGCCAGGCTCACCTACGACGAAGACCTTGAGCAGCTGGGCTATGAGCAGCAGTGCATCCCCGCTGACTGCAGGGTGGAGGGAAACAGGTCACTGAGCGCCCTCACACCGCCCTGCCAGGGCATGCTGCCCTGCACTCCACTTCCTCCCAGGCCCCTGCAGAGCCACCTGCAGCCCCAACTGCCCTCCCACCCCAGGCTGGTGCCCCACCGCCCCAGGCTGGTGCCCACCTTTGGTCTTGTCGTCCTTGAAGTGCAGGTGCAGCAGCTTGCTCACCAGCTCCTGGGACCAACAGGACAGTGACTGGCCCGCCCCCACCTGCTACCATAGACCCCGCCGGCAGCGGTGGGTGGGAGGGTGTGATTTCTGACCCGGCCGGGGACTGTGGTGGGGCAGCCCAGGTGACAGCCGCCCCTCTGGGGCTCCGGTTCTCCAGGAATCCGGGGCAGCCTCATGCCCCCCACCCCGCACGGCCACTGGGGGAGCAGCCGTGGCCTCCCCTCCCGCAGTGGGTGGGGCCTGCCACCTGCTGGTCCCTGCGGCTACCAGGAAGGGCCAGACCCCAGGAAGAGCTAGGGCGCCCCCTGGGGGCGGCGCCAACAGGAAGCAGCAGCCGCTACACCAGTGACTGAGCTGAGGGCAGGATGGGACGGGAGGCCCTCGCCCCCGCGCCCGCCCCCCGACGCCCTCCCAGGAAGAGCCGTTCAGGGGCAGTGACCGAGCCCCCAGCTGGACGGAGCCCTGGGCTGGAGGCCCTGAGCTGCCAGGTGGGCGGGACAGAGGACAGCCCCGCGCCGTCTCCAGCTGTCATACGGGGTTCTCACAGCCCCCCGCAGTCACCCGGGCCTCGGCGACTATCCCGGGGCCAGGCAGAGCCACGATCCCGGTGATGGAGGGACCGAGGGGAAGGCGGTCCAGCGAGAAGCCCCCTCCCGGCAAGGCCGAGGCCACCCTGGGGCTGCGGCCCCCGGCGCCCCTTCCCGGTTCCAGCGTTCAGAGCCGAGCGAGCACCGGAGGCCGAGCCGCCTTCGCCGGGTGCAGAGGACCGGCTCCCGCCCTCCCGGTGACGGGCGAGCAGTTCCCATCGCCGAGGGCGCCGCGTTCACGGGGTGAGCCGTGTCGGGTGCAGGCACGGGCCTGGCCGGCCGGGGCTGTTAACGAAGCGCCGGCGGCGCCCGACTCCAGGCCGAGCTGCAGCGGGGCCACGGGGGCAGCCAGGGGTGCGCGGGCTGGGGTCGCGGCTGGATCTGGGGATGCGCTCGCCCTAAAGGGGCCTCCTGACCCCGACCCCCGCGCCCCCCACGCTCACCTTCCGGAAGCCGGCGCTGGTCCCCTCCATGGCCGCCACCGCCGCGCGCGCCCCTCGGCCCACACTCGCGCTCCCAGCCAATGAGCCCTAAGCGCGCCCCATTTTGGCCACACCCATACGCCTCCAGCCAATCATACCGGAGCGCGCACTCCTAAGCCCTGCCCTCGTCCCCCCTCCCATTGGCTCGGAGCGCGTTGCCCCGACTTCGGGCTGGCGTCCCAGCGCGCACGCCCGCCCCCTTCTCCCTCATTGGCCAGTGATGAGCACCCTTTTCTCCGCAAAGCCTTTTGGGAGTTGTAGTTCCGCCAGCCGTTCCCGGCGCACCCTGCTCTTCCTGGATACTGAGGAGCCCGCGGACCCCGCCGAGTGATGCGCGAGGTTTGGGGTCCCGAGTACGCGTGACGCCCGGCCCGGCCCCGCGGCCCCGCGCCGGCCGCAGGCCACCCCTGTCCACCTGGGGCCTCTCACCTGTAGAGCCCGTTCGTTGTCCCCTGGGAGCTGGCCCTGACTGAGGACGCTGGGGTCCGGCGCTCGCGGCGCGGAGGCGCCCTGCCGGCGGCCCGGACATGGAGGAGTTCCTGCGCTCCTACAGCCGGCTGTGCCGGGAGCGGGGCGCCGAGCCGCAGGAGACCGTGCTGCAGCGCCTGCACGAGCTGCCGCGGGGCCGGCTGGACTTGGCGGCGCAGAGCCTGACCCTGGACACCTGCAGGGCGCTGGGCGCGCTGCTGCCCAGGGAGGCCCAGCTGACGGAGTTGGTCCTGAGCGACTGCATGCTGAGCGAGGAAGGTGGGCGGCGGGCCGGGGCGGCCCGGCACTCGGAGCCCTGGCCCCGGCCGCCTCCCCCGGGCCCGCTGCGCCCGGCCCTCAAGTCCCGAAAGAGACTCCGTCCCACCCGTGTCCCCATGGACTCGTAAGGTGACCAGACGGCCCGGTTTTGGCAGGACAAATTGTTAAAAATCGAGACGGCTGGTCACCTTACCACGGAGACCCCGGAGGTTCCTCCTCTTGGCCTTGGCGTTAAAGCAGGCAGGGAGGTCCCTTCTGCAAGCTTTGGGGCAGTTGCTTTGTAACCAAAAAGCACCAGGAGAGTCCAGGGTGCCGGCGGCCTGGCTCCATGCTGGGCAGAGGGTGTGGGTTTTCCAAACCTGACACAGGATGGGGCTCCTGGCTAACGCCCTGAACCTGATCGTGTGTGGGGGCTGCTGCCTGGACCGGCTTCCCTCCCAGGAGTCTGGGGAGGTGCCCCAAGGGCAGAGAGTGACTCCCTGCCCCCTTCCAGGGGCCGCACTGCTGCTCCAGGGGCTGTGTGCCAATACCATCCTACGGTTCCTGGACCTGAAGGTGAGGGGGTGCCCCGGCGACCTGGGGTGTGGGCCTGGGGTGTGGAGCCTGTGTCTGTAAGCACCGTTGGCACAGAGCATCCCCGTGTCCTGGGGGTTCTGGGCATGTGTGTCCAGAGGGTCCCCATAAGCAAACCTAACGAACCAGCCCCAGGTGGCCTGGCCTCGCCCACCGCCTGACCAGGGCCCTGTGGGGTGTGCCCGGCCCGGACACGGGCCTGCCTCCTCCTGTCTGTCCAGGGCAACAACCTCCAGGCCAGAGGAGCTGAGGCTCTGGGAAAACTCCTCCGACAGAACAAGTCCATTCAGAGGTGAGGTGGTGCCTCCTCCCCGGCCCCCGTTCCCTGCACCATGAGGGCTGCCCCGAGGGTTCCCACCTTCCAGCCGGCTGCCCCTTTGCCGCCTGTCTGTGGGGATCAGGCAGGTACGGGTCACGCATGTGGCTCCAGACTTCCTGCCAGAGATACCCAGGCCTGCACCCCCCCCCCCGCCCCCCGGAGCCCAGGGGCCTCATGGGAGCAGGTGCCCCTCGACCCCTCCCCCAGCCTCACCCTGGAGTGGAACAACTTGGGGGCCTGGGAAGAGGCCTTCGCCACCTTCTGCCGGGCGCTGGCGGGCAACCCTGCCCTGCGGCAGCTGGACCTCCGCAACAACCAGATCAGCCACCAGGGCGCCGAGGAGCTGGCCCTGGCCCTGAAGGCCAACACCGGCCTGCAGCAGCTGGGTGAGCCCGCGCCCGCCCCCCGCCCCCTGCCACTTCCTTAGTCCCGTCCGGGAGCCGAGGGCGGGGCGGGGGCGGGGTGGGCCACGCGGGCTCCTGCCTGCTGGTGACCCCCCAGAGGAAGCAGCTCGGCCAGGCCGGCTCCCAGGTGACGAGGTGTTCCCCCTGCTCAGACCTGCGCTGGAACAACATCGGCCTCCTGGGCGGCCGGGCCCTGGCGAGCTGCCTCTCCAGCAACCGGAGCCTGTGGCGGCTGGAGCTGGCCGGGAACAGCGTGCCCAGCGACGTCCTCAGAGCCGTGGGTACGGTGCCGTTTGGAGCCGTCAGACCATAAAGTGACCGAGGCCCCGCCTCCGGGGAGGGGGTGTCCCTGGATTAAAAACGAGGGAGAGCTGCTCCTGGGACCTGCTCATTCGGTTCTTAGATCCCCCGAGGGTGGTTGCCCATTTCACAGATGGGCAAACTGAGGCAGCATGGCCGAGCTGCTTCCTCGGGAGGCATCTGTCCCCGCCACCCCTGAGTTCACGGCCGTGCATGGGAGCCGTGTGGTTGTAGGGCCACCAGGTCCGAGCCACGGCCCCCGTGGCCCTCGGCCCGGGCCCAGCAGAGCCCCCCGCCATTCCCCAAGACTCCTCGTCCTACCAGCCATCGAGGGGCCCCCCCTCGGCTGGAGCCCTGCCCAGCTCGCTCTCCCCCTCCTGCTGGGGCTGCCTAGGCCGTGCCGCCTCCTGCAGGCTCCTCCGTCCTGGGCCTGCCCCTGGGCCTTCACTCCCGACAGCAGGGCCTCCTGGCTGGTCCCTCTGCACACGCCGCCCAGGTCTTCCCAGCGCACGGAGCTCACCCCGTGCTGGAGAGTCACCCGTGGCCTTTGACCTCGGGGACAAACGTCTCTCCACGTGTGCCCCCACCCCTGCCTGGCGCCCCCCGCACCCGCGCTGACGCCTGTCCGCCCCCCGGGCCCTGGTCCTCGGCTGCCGGCCTCTGAGCTCCGGCCGGGGTGGTTCACACGGCGCCCCCCGCAGAGCAAGCCATGGAGCACAGCCAGGACCGGGAGGCCGCCGCCCGGGAGAGCCGCACCCGCACCCGCGTGCTCAGCAAGGAGGTGCGGCACCTGCGGGAGGAGAAGTCCAAGCAGGTTAGCCGGGCGCTGCCTGGCTCGGCCCCCGGCCGGCCTGGCCCCCCCGGGTGGCCGGGTGAGCAGGCTCCCGTGCGGGGCCCACCCCCTCCGCAGTCCTGCTCCTGGGGGATCCTCGCCTTCCCACCCAGCCCGGCTCTGCGTCTGCCCTCAGTTTCTGGACCTGATGGAGACCATCGAGCGGCAGCGGGAGGAGCTGGCCCGGAGCAGCCGGTGAGGGGGCCCAGGGCTCGGGCTGTGCCCCTGACCTCGGGGGCCCCGCCTGAGCCTGTCCCCTGCTCGCGGGGAAGGGTGTGGCTTGTGCTCTCAGTGGTGCCGGCAGCACAGTGCCCCCAGCCCGGTGCCTGAGGGGTGGGGGAGCAGGAGACAGGGCGCTGCCCGGGTTCCCTGACCCCCCTCTCTGCCCGAAGGGCGTCGGCCTTGCGCGTGGGGCAGCTTCAGGAGGCCCTGGACGAGAGGCACTCCATCATCAACGCCCTCAGGGCCAAGTGAGTGGAGGGAGGCCGGGGGTGGGCGGGAGGTTCCGGGCAGACAGGCCCACAGGACGGGAGGGGGCAGACACGGGCCCGCGTTCCTGCCTGTAAAGTGAAGGTGGGAACAGCTTGGAGGAGGTGAACAGCGGCCTGGGGACAGTGCGAATGGAGGCTTTTGTGAGGTGGAGGCCAGGCCTGGCGGGCTCAGGAGGGGCGGACGGCTCCCCCTGCAGGCTGCAGATGGCCGAGGCCGCCCTGGCGCTGTCGGAGCAGAAGGCCCAGGACCTGGGGGAGCTGCTGGCCGCGGCGGAGCAGGAGCAGCAGAGCCTGGCGCAGAAACAAGCCAAGGAGCACCGGCTGCAGCAGCAGGTGGGCGGGCGGGGCGTAGGCGCCAGGCCGTACATGGCAGCAGGCGGCCCACACTGGTCTCTCCCCGCCTCGCCCCTAGGAAGCTGCAGAGCGCGAGTCCAAGCTGCTCAGAGACCTGTCCACTGCCAACGAGAAGAACCTGCTGCTGCGCAACCAGGTAGAGGGGTGCGGGGCTGGTAGAGGGGTTCAGGGCCCGGTAGAGGGGGTGCGGGGCTGGTAGAGGGGTGCAAGTCCCGGTAGAGGGGTTCAGAGCCCGGTAGAGGGGGTGCGGGGCCGGTAGAGGGGGTGCGGGGCCGGTAGAGGGGGTGCGGGGCCGGTAGAGGGGGTGCAGGTCCCGGTAGAGGGGTGCGGGGCGGGTAGAGGGGGTGCGGGGCGGGTAGAGGGGTGCAGGTCCCGGTAGAGGGGGTGCGGGGCGGGTAGAGGGGTGCAGGTCCCGGTAGAGGGGGTGCGGGGCGGGTAGAGGGGTGCAGGTCCCAGTAGAGGGGGTGCAGGTCCCGGTAGAGGGGGTGCAGGTCCCAGTAGAGGGGGTGCAGGTCCCGGTAGAGGGGGTGAAGGGCCGGTACAGGGGGTGCAGGTCCCAGTAGAGGGGGTGAAGGGCTGGTAGAGGGGGTGCAGGTCCCGGTAGAGGGGGTGCAGGTCCCGGTAGAGGGGGTGCGGGGCGGGTAGAGGGGGTGTGGGGCGGGTAGAGGGGTGCGGGGCGGGTAGAGGGGTGCGGGGCGGGTAGAGGGGTGCGGGGCGGGTAGAGGGTGTGCGGGGCGGGTAGAGGGGTGCAGGTCCCGGTAGAGGGGGTGCGGGGCCGGTAGAGGGGTGCGGGGCGGGTAGAGGGGTGCGGGGCGGGTAGAGGGGTGCGGGGCGGGTAGAGGGTGTGCGGGGCGGGTAGAGGGGGTGCAGGTCCCGGTAGAGGGGGTGCAGGCCCCAGTAGAGGGGGTGAAGGGCCGGTAGAGGGGGTGCAGGTCCCGGTAGAGGGGGTGCGGGGCGGGTAGAGGGGTACAGGTCCCGGTAGAGGGGGTGCGGGGCGGGTAGAGGGGTACAGGTCCCGGTAGAGGGGGTGCAGGTCCCGGTAGAGGGGGTGCGGGGCGGGTAGAGGGGTACAGGTCCCGGTAGAGGGGGTGCGGGGCGGGTAAAGGGGTACAGGTCCCGGTAGAGGGGGTGCAGGGTCAATAGAGGGGTGCGGGCCCAGGCCCAGGGTGTGCGAGGCTGGGGAGAGCGTCCCCTCCACGGAGTGGGCTTTCCAGGTGGACGAGCTGGAGCGGAAGGTGAAGTCGCAGCAGGACCAGCTGTTCCTGGCCAGGCAGGAGCTGACCACCACGGCGGCCGAGCTGAAGATGCGGGCCGTGCAGGCCGAGGGTGGGCGCCAGCGCGGGCCTGGGGCCGGGGCCTGGGGCGGGCAGGCGGGCGGAGGCATGGGGAGGGGGCCCGAGGGGCCGGTCCATGGCTGCCTTCCCGTCCAGAGCGCCTGGACCTCGAGAAGCGGCGGTCTCGGCAGAGCCTGGAGGACGCGGAGCAGCTGCGTGCCAAGGAGGTGCCTCCTTCCTGTCATCTGGCCTCGCGCTCCCCCCTCTGCCAGTCTGGGGCCTGCAGGCGCCTCGGGGCAGCCCGATGTCCCCAAGGAACCCCCTGGCTGGGCTCCCCTCAAGCCCTTGGGTGCTGGGTGGCAGCCTTCCACCTGCCCTGGCCGACGCCAGACCCAGAACCTCCTAACCGGGCCCGGAGGGACCCCCCGTGGGGGCCGCCGCGCAGGCTGCTGAGGGCTCGGTGGCGCCTCCATCTCTGCTTCCTGAGAAGCTCGGGGCAGCCCCTGGGAAGGAACAGTGTCCCCGAGATCCCCCTGCCTCCCAGGGTCAGGGTCCCAACGGCCCTGTCCCTGCCCCCGGCAGGCGGAGCACATGGCACGCCACCTGGAGGAGAGCCAGCGGGCCCTGCAGGAGCGGGTGCAGAGGCTGGAGGCCGCACGGCTGTCCCTGGAGGAGGTGACGCAGGCGGGGCCCCCGGGGACCCCCTGTGAGCCCAGGGGGCCGGGTGCGGGGCATGGGCGCTCCCGCAGCCACGGAGGCCTCATCGGTGGGCAGAGCCGGGAGGAGGGCCGCCGGTGTCTGTGCTGCAGGAGCTGAGCCGGGCGAAGGCGGCGGCCCTCGGTGAGCGCGGCCGGGCTGAGGAGGAGCTCATGAAGGCCAAGAGCCAGGTCCGCCTGGAGGAGGTGAGGCCGGCCCGGCTGCAGAGGCAGATGGGGCTGGGGTGAGGGGCCGGGAGCTCCAGCGTGCAGGCGGAGAGCAGGCCGAACGGACCCATGTTGCATTGACACCGTGTCCAGGTGGGGGAGGAGCCAGGCCCACGGCCCTCGGCCCACGCCTGGCTGAGCTGCACTGACCACACTGTTCAAACGAAAGCTCCCTGGTCGGAGAGGGCTCGGGCATGAGCTGGGGCCACAGGCAGGCCCCGCACTCACCAGCCCGTGGCCCCTGCAGCAGCAGCGCCTGGGGCACCTGGAGGAGAAGCTGCGGCTGCTGGCGCAGGCGCGGGACGAGGCGCAGGCCACCTGCCTGCAGCAGAAGCAGATGGTGGCCGAGGCCCAGGCGCGGGGCGGCCAGCTGGGCCTGCAGGTGGAGGCACTGAGGCGGCGCCTGGAGGAGCTGCAGCAGGTAACCGGGCCTTCGGGGCCCTCCGGGGTGCCTGCCCCTTCTCCCCCCGCGCCCTCTCACCCATGTGCCTGGCAGGAGCTGAGCAACAAGGACCAGGAAAAGGTGGTGGAGGTGACCCGGGTGCGGGTGGAGTTCCAGGAGCAGAACGGCCGCCTGCAGGCGGAGCTGGCCGCCCAGGAAGGGCTGAAGGAGAAGGTGGCAGCCCTGGAGCGCCAGCTGAGAGGTGAGCCCCCCCCCCCAGGGCCCTGCAGGACCCGGTCTCCCTGGCCATAGGTGGGGGCGGGGCTGGGACAAGGTCTGGCTCTGAGAGGCGCCTATGGGACCCCAAACCCCACCTGCGTCCTCTCTGTGGCCCTCTGAGCGGCTGATGCCCCGGCACTGAGCTTCCTCCCCCCCCGCAGTGACGGCGAGTGGCCACCGGGAGGCGCTGCTGGACCGGGAGAGCGAGAACGCCAGCCTCCGCGAGAAGCTGCGGCTGCGGGAGGCGGAGATCGCGCGCATCCGGGAGGAGGAGGCGCAGAGGGCTAGCTGCTTGCAAAGCGCGGTCCTGGCCTACGTGCAGGGGTCCCCCGCGAGGGCCCTGAGCCCCCACAAGTGAGGGAGGCGGAGCCCCTAGGACAGCAGGGAGGTGGCGGCTGGTGGTGCGGGGTGCAGCCGCCCCGAGAAATCGGTGTCAAGACCATGTGCGCCCAGCTCAGCCCCCACCCCGGGGGCTCCCAGGCGGCCACGGGTGGGAGTGGCCGGCGCCCCTGCCCTGCCCCGCGGACCCACCCCGACACGGGCGCCTGACACAACGCGCGTGACGGGGGACACTGGGGGGCAGAGCCCTCCCGGCTCCCTCCTCACCCCGCATCGCCTTCCAGAGTGACTCAGGGCGTTTGAAATAAAGAACTTTTCACTTTGTGATACGTTCTGGCTCCGGCCTTCCTTCTCCATCAGCCTGCGCCCCGCTGCGGGTCCCGGAGGCCGGCTGGCCCGGGCAATGGCCTGGGCGCTGCTGGCCGCCCCCGGGGGGCTGTGACTGCCAACGCCCAGGTCCACGCGCGTCCCCGCAGGCGGGCGGCGGGGCGGGAGCGTCCCCTGGGCGGCCACGGGCGCGGACACCCCGCCTGTGCATCGCGGCGGCTGTCCTCCGGGCGCGCGGCCTGGGAGCCCCGTGCGCCGGGCCGAGCTCCGAACCCGGCGGGCGGGGGGCGGGGGCCGGGGGGCCGGGGGGCGGGGGGCCGGGCCCGGCGGGCGGGGGCCGGGGGCCGGGCACCGGGCCCGCACCCCCTCCCTCTCCGGAAGCCCGCGCCCCCGGCGGGCGCGCTCGGCTGTGTCCGCGCCCGGCGCTCGGCGGCGCTCGGCTGTCTCCGCCGCTCGGCTCGGCCCGGCGCTCGGCTCGGCTCGGCCGGTGCGGCGGGCGCTGCGGGCGCGGCGGGCATTTCTCCGCAGCTGCCCCCGCGCCGGGCCGCGCCCATGCAGGCCATCAAGTGCGTGGTGGTCGGCGACGGGTGAGTGCGGGCCGGGCGCGGGGCCGGGGCGGCGGGAGGGCGCGGCCGGGCGGGGCGGGCCGGCTCCCCGCTCCCCGGAGGCCGCCCGCCGGCCCACCTGATGCTCCGGGCCGGACCGGGCCTCCATGCGGGCGGGGCGGCCCTCGGACCCGCGGCACCGGCCGCCCTCCCTCCCGCCGCCCTCGGCCCGCAGCCCGCCCCCAGGCCCCCTCCCGGCCCGGGCGCTGCGGGTCCTGCACGCGGGCCCCGGGCCCCGGGCCCTGGGGCGGGGCGGGGCTGGGGCCGGGGCGGGGCTGCCTCGCGGCCGCGGGTCTGAGGGCCCGGAGCCACGTGCTGCCCTCCGCCCGCAGCGCCGTGGGCAAGACCTGCCTGCTCATCAGCTACACGACCAACGCCTTCCCCGGGGAGTACATCCCCACCGTGTGAGCGCGGGGCGGGGCGCGGGGCGGGGGGCCCGGGGAGGGGCGGGGGGCGGGGGCGGGGGGCGCGGGGGCCGGACTCCGGGGGGCGCGGGGGGCCGGGCTCCGGGGGGCGGGGGCGGGGGCGGGGGGCGCGGGGGCCGGACTCCGGGGGGCCGGACTCCGGGGGGCGCGGGGGGCCGGGCTCCGGGGGGCGGGGGCGGGGGGGGGGCGGGGGGCCGGGCTCCGGGGGGCGGGGGCCGGGGGGGGGGCGGGGGGCCGGGCTCCGGGCTCCGGGGGGCGGGGTGGGGCGCGGGGGGCCGGGCTCCGGGGGGCGGGGGCTGAGGGGGCGGGGGGCCGGGCTCCGGGGGGCGGGGTAGGGCGCGGGGTCTGGGGGCGCGGGGGCCGGGCTCCCGGGCCGCCGGTGACCCCCGTCCCCGCAGGTTCGACAACTACTCGGCCAACGTGATGGTGGACGGGAAGCCGGTGAACCTGGGGCTGTGGGACACGGCGGGGCAGGAGGACTACGACCGCCTGCGGCCGCTCTCCTACCCGCAAACCGTAGGCGGCGGCTGCCCCGGGGGCGAGGGGGTGAGGCCCCTGGGGGGGGGACTCGGGCCTCCTGGGCCACCTCCACTCGGCTCCTCCCTCCCCAGGACGTCTTCCTGATCTGCTTCTCCCTGGTGAGCCCGGCCTCCTTCGAGAACGTGCGCGCCAAGGTAGGGGCGGCTCCGAGGGGAGGCGGGCCGGGCGCCTGGGGGGCCCCGAGGGGAGAAGGGTCTGGAGGATGGGGGGCCTGTCCGAGGGGAGGAGGGTCTGGGGGGCAGGAGGGCCTGGGGGGCTCCGAGGGGAGGCGGGCCGGGGGCTCGCCTGATGGGACAGGGTCTCTGGCCTAAAGCCTCACCAGGCTAACAGCCCTCTGGAGGTGGAGACGCCCTCTTTGCTTGGCGTGGGTTTCAGGGCTGGGGGACAGGGTATGGGGCTGGGCAGGGTGGTGAGAGGGAAAGGGCCCCGGCTGGGAGGCCCCAATAGGCCTGGAAGCTTCCGCCTGGGGATTCTTGCTTTTTAAAATATATTTTACTGATTTTTTACGGAGAAGAAGGGAGAGGGACAGAGTTAGGAACATCAGTGAGAGAAACACTGATCAGCTGCCTCCTGCACACTCCTTATTGGGGATGTGCCAGAAGCCAAGTTATATGCCGTTAACCTGGGACCCTGGAGTCTGCAGGCCGACGCTCTATCCAATGAGCCAAACCGGCTTGGGATCTTTCTTTCTTTTAAAACTATATTTTTATTGATATCAGAGAGGAAGGGAGAGGGAGCAAAACGTCAATGATGAGAGAGAATCATTGTTCGGCTGCCTCCTGCAGGCGCCCTCCTGGGGATACAGCCCAAAACCCAGGCCTGTGCCCTGACGGGAACCGAACCCTGAACCCTTCAGTCCACAGGCTGACACTCCATCCCCTGAGCCACACCAGCCAGGGCCCGGCTGGGGATCCTTGTCCCCCACCCGGCCGAGCGGTCAGCCGGTCAGCCGGTCAGCCGGTCAGCGGGTGCCGAGTGGGTCTGGGGCCGCGCGCCTGGGGGAGGAGTCGAAGGGTGAGCCACTGCTCCCTCCCCGCAGTGGTACCCAGAGGTGCGGCACCACTGCCCCCACACGCCCATCCTGCTGGTGGGCACCAAGCTGGACCTGCGGGACGACAAGGACACCATCGAGCGGCTGCGGGACAAGAAGCTGGCGCCCATCACCTACCCGCAGGGCCTGGCCATGGCCAGGGAGATCGGTGAGTGAGCCCTCCGGCCTCGGACCCGCCTGCCTCCTCGCCCTCCTGCCTTACTCTCCTCTCCTCTCCTTTCCCCACCCCCCCCCCCACCCTCCTGCCTCACTCTCCTCTCCCCGGCCCAGAGCCCCCGCCCCCCTGCCTCACTCTCTTCTCCTCTCCTCTCCTCTCCGCTCCCCTCCCCGGCCCAGGCTCAGTCAAGTACCTGGAGTGCTCGGCCCTGACCCAGCGGGGCCTGAAGACCGTGTTCGACGAGGCGATCCGGGCGGTGCTGTGCCCGCCGCCCGTGAAGAAGCCAGGGAAGAAGTGCACCGTCTTCTAGCCCGGCCTGGGGTTCCCCCCCCCCCGTGTCTGCTGTCGTGCTGAGCTGTCCTGTGTCCGAGTCTGCTGTGGGGGTGCGGGGTTGGGAAGGCCAGGAGCATGGGGGGCCGGGGGGTGGGCTCAGCCTTGCTCCTCGGTGGGGCACGGCTCAGCCTGCCCCGGCCGCAGAGCCAGGAGGGAGCGGGGTCTCCCTCAGGCTGCAGGAGGGGGTGCAGGGAGCCCCAGGATGGGCTTCCCTGGCGGGGGCGGGGGCGGGGGCGGGGGTGGGGGGTGGGGTTCTGTCCCTGTTTTATTTTATACAATAAACGTTCTCCAGCATCTGCTGCCTCTGGCCGTCGCCCTGGTGTGGGGGGGTGAGCCTGTTCCGACGCCCCAACCCCACAGCAGCCCCGGAGGGCAGTGGGAGCCAGTGTATCTGGCCGGGGTGGAGGTGGGGGCGGGAAGAGCCCGGCGTGGGCCTGTGGGGGAGCCCTCGGGCTCCGGGTGTGGGGGGCCAGTCGGCAGTCAGGCCTGGAGCCCCGTGTGTGCGGCCCCCCCACGCTCCCCCTCCTGTGTGTGGCGCTGAGTCTGTGAGAAGTCAGGGGGGCGTCCAGGCTGAGCACCCAGCGGACCAGGAGCAGAGGTCAGCATGGCGAGGTAGGGGCGGCCAGGGGCCGGGGGCCACAGGAGGCCGGGATGGTGGGGGTGAGGCCCAGGCGCCCGGACTTCAGCCCCGGCCGCGGGCACGGCTCCAGGCAGCCCGTGACCCGAGGCCGCGGTCTGAGGGCTCACTGGCCTGTAGGGCCAGCAGCCAGGTTTTCGGGAACTTTGCTGCTTAAACAGCCATTGTTAGGAGCTACAGGAACTTCTGGAAGGTTCCAGCCTCCGGAAAGGGGGCCTCGTCTGAAGACCTCAGGCCAGGAGCCAGGCTGCCAGCGGCCTGGGACCGGCGGTGAATGGCCGTCCCGCTCCGGAACCCGTCCACCCGCCCCAGCAGGGCCCGCGGGCTGAGCAGCGGCATCGTTTATTGGGGGCGGAGGGGGCGGGGCTCACAGGGGGCGGGGCTCAGGGGCGGGGCTCAGGGGCGGGGCCGTGGGGCTCAGGTGGCCAGGAAGCCCCCGTCCACGGGCACCGCGGAGCCGGTGGTCATGCTGCTGCGGTCGCTCAGCAGGAAGAGGATGGCGTCCACCACGTCCTGCTCCTCTGCAGGCGGAGGGGGGTGAGGAAGCTCCTCCCCCCTCCTCGCCAGGCAGGCCCGTGCCCCCCGCACCCCCTCTCCCACACACACACACACACACACACACACACACACACACACCCCCCCCCGACTCACCCGCAAACCTGCCCAGCGGGATCCGGTCCAGCATGGTCTTGGCCTTCATGGGGTCGCTCCAGTTGGCCTTGCCCATGGGGGTCATCACCACCGTGGGGTTCACTGTGTTCACGCGGATCTGTGCAGGGACAGACGGGGGCTCAGCACGGCGGGCTGGGGGGCCCGACACCCAGGGATGGGGCGCCCCAGCAGGCCCACCTTGTGCGGCCCGAGCTCCATAGCCATCACCTTGGTCAGCATGTCCAGGGCCCCCTTGGTGGCACCTGTGCGGAGGGGCTGTAAGTGGGGGCCAGCTGCAGGCTGGGGGGTGAGGGCAGGGCGCACTCACAGTAGACGCTGTGGTTGGCCAGTGCCCGCTGGGAGGCCTGGCTGGACACGTTCACGATGGACCCGGGGGCCCCGCGGGCGATCAGGCCCCGCGCCACGATCTGGAATTCAGAGACGGTGAGGGGGCCGTCCCCCTGGCCCTCCGAGCACCCCCCGCCCCGGCCGCTCACCTGGGACCCCCGCCCCCCGCCCCCCGCCCGGCCGCTCACCTGGGACCCCCGCCCCGGCCGCTCACCTGGGACCCCCGCCCCCCGCCCCCCGGCCCGGCCGCTCACCTGGGACCCCCGCCCCGGCCGCTCACCTGAGACCCCCACCCCCTGCTCCGGCCGCTCAGCTGGGACCCCCGCCCCCCGCCCCGGCCGCTCAGCTGGGACACCCACCCCCCGCCCCCCGCCCTGGCCGCTCACCTGGGACCCCCGCCCCGGCCACTCACCTGGGACCCCCGCCCCCTGCCCCGGCCGCTCACCTGGGACACCTGGACCACCGCCCGCAGGTTCACGTCGAAGGCGCTGCGGGCAGACGGGCAGACGTCCGGTCAGGGGCTGGGCTGCGCCCTGGGGGTCCCTCCCGCCCGGCCCGGGGGCTCACGTGTCACAGGCCTCCTTGGTGACCTCCAGGAAGGGCTGCAGCAGTGCCATGGCGGCGTTGTTCACCAGCAGGTCCACCGGGCCCACGCCGGCCAGCGCCCGCTCCGTGGCCGCCCAGTCGCCCAGGTCCACGCACACGGGCTCCACCCCGGGGCACTGCTCATGGGGGACAGCATTCATGGGGAACGGCATTCATGGGGGCACTGCTCATGGGGGAAGGCATTCACGGGGGACGGCGTTCACGGGGGGGGGGGGGGGGGCGGCATTCACGGGGGACGGCATTCATGGGGGACGGCATTCATGGGGGCACTGCTCACAGGGGACGGCATTCACTGGGGACGGCGTTCACGGGGGACGGCGTTCACGGGGGCACTGCTCACGGGGGACGGCATTCATGGGGGACGGCGTTCACAGGGGCACTGCTCATGGGGGACGGCGTTCACGGGGGACGGCGTTCACGGGGGACGGCGTTCACGGGGACGGCGCTCACGGGGGACGGCGTTCACGGGGGACGGCATTCACGGGGGACGGCATTCATGGGGGCACTGCTCACGGGGGACGGCATTCATGGGGGCACTGCTCATTGGGGACGGCATTCACGGGGGCACTGCTCATTGGGGACGGCGTTCACGGGGGACGGCATTCATGGGGGACGGCATTCATGGGGGACGGCGTTCACGGGGACGGCATTCATGGGGGACGGCATTCATGGGGGACGGCGTTCACGGGGGCACTGCTCACGGGGGGACGGCGTTCACGGGGGACGGCGCTCACGGGGGACGGCGTTCACGGGGACGGCATTCATTGGGGACGGCGTTCACTGGGGACGGCGTTCACGGGGACGGCAGTGAGGGAGCCCTGCCTGAGGAGGGCACAGGGGGCTCTGCCCACAGGGAGGGGGCTGCGAGGCTGAGCTCTCAGACCCACGGGGGGGGGGTCCCCCAGGAGCCGGCACCTTCTTAGGGCTCAGAACCCCCGGTCGCTGGGGAGGCGGGAGGGAGGTGGCTGCCTCTGGGCCGCTGGGAGCTTGGGGACCAGCCCCCCAGAGCTCACTTCCTCCTGCCCGCCCGCCCCGCCGCCTCGGCCCGGCGCCAGGCGGCCATGTCTGCTGCTTCCAGCCCGGAGGCGGCCTCCCGGAGGCCGCTCGGAGCCCGGAGTCTGCGCGCTCGGCCCCGCGGCCGCCCCGCCCGGTGCCCGCCGCCCGCCGCCCGGGGCCCGTACCTCGCGGACCAGGCTGTCCAGGTCGCCCTGGGTGCGGCTCACGGCCACCACCCGCACCCCCGCCGCGTGCAGCGCCCGGACCGTGCTGCGCCCGATGCCTGCGGGGAGCGGGGAGGGGGGCCGGGCTCAGGGGGGAGCGGGGAGTGCGGAGGGGGGAGGGGAGCCGGGCTCAGAGGGGAGCGGGGAGCGGGGAGCGGGGCTCAGGGGGGAGCGGGGAGCGGGGAGCGGGGAGCGGGGAGCGGGGAGCGGGGAGCCGGGCTCAGGGGGGAGCGGGGAGCGGGGAGCGGGGCTCAGGGGGGAGCGGGGAGCGGGGCTCAGAGGGGCCCCAGGCAGCCTCACCCCGCCCGCCGCCCCGCCGCCCCGCCGCCGCCGCACCTTTGCCCGCCCCGGTGACGAGCGCCCGGCGCCCCGCGAGCCCCAGCTCCATGGCGGTGCCGAATGCGGCGCCCGGGGCCGGGCTGCGCTCCGGGCTGCGGGCGGGGCGGGGCGGGGCGGGGCGGGCGATTGGCCCAAAGGAGGGGGCGCGGCGGGGCCGGTGGCGAGGCCCCGCGGAGCGCGAACTGGGACCGGCAGGCTGGTCCCGCCGCCTTGTCCTGAGCGGAGACCACGGTGGCCAAGCCCGGTGTGGGGGTGACCAATGGGAACGCGGGGCTCATGCTGCTTTTTTTTTTTTTAATTTAATATTTTATTGATCTTTTTACAGGGAAGGGAGAGGGAGAGAGAATATGAAACACCGACCAGCTGCCTCCTGCACACTCCCTACCGGGGATGTGCCCGCAACCAAGGTACATGCCCTTGACCAGAATCGAACCCGGGACCCTTGAGTCTGCAGGCCGACGCTCCATCCACTGGGCCACACTGTTTGGGGCAGGGTTAATGTTTCTTGTTTTGTTTCCGAGAAGTTTGGCCAAAGGGATCACAGCCGCCGCCGCCCCCCCCCCGGACCTCTGGGGATGGGGGCGCTCCGGGTGCCCGGAGGGGGTTTGGGCTTCCATCAGCCGGAGAAGAGCCGGGTGCCTGGAGGCTCGCTTTAGCCCCAAAGGGAATTGCACCCCAAATCTCCCCTGCCAGCCCCCAGGAGCCAGTGTGGCTCAGCCACTGGGCATCGGCCCAGGAGCCAAGAGGCCACGGTCGGACTCGGAGTGGGGGGTGCAGGCTTCATCCCATGGGGGTGCAGGAGGCGGCCGATGGATGGATCTCTCTCTATCCCTCTCCCTTCCTCTCTCCCAGATCCATCGGAACGTGTATTTGTAAAAGCTCGTGTAGGCCAGGAAGGAACAGGAGGATTGGGGAGGGCGCCCCGGGGGCGCTGCACGGGGGGCCAGACACGTAGACTGGCCCGGCACCCCTGCCCAGGCCGGCCAGCCTCCCGGGGCGGCCGGGGGTCTCCCCTCCGCAGACCTCCGCCTCCGCGGGCAGCGGCCAGACCCAGGCGCCGGCCTCCGGGAAGGGAAGGCGCCTCAGGCCGGCCTCGTCCCCCGCCCTCCGGCGGCCACAGCGGGGGTGGCGGTGGGACCCGCTGGCTTCGGACACCATGGGAGGTGACGGGAGCCCCATCCCCGCCCCTGCGGCCCCGGCCCCCGGGGAAAGGCCTCCGTTCACTTATTCCGGCAAATGGAGCCCAGCCACGGCGCCGGGGGCGGGGCCTCGGCAATGAAGGCGGGGCGTGGGCGGGGCTCTCACTGCGGGGATGCAGGCTCCCCGCCCCAAGGCCTCGCCTCTTCACCAGCAACACGCTGCTATTTTCTCTTAAAAAACAAACCAGCAAAAAAACCAACCCCTGCCGAAACCGGTGTGGCTCAGTGGATAGAGCGTCGGCCTGCGGACTGAGAGGCCCCGGGTTCGGTTCCGGTCAGGGGCATGGACCTTGGTTGCGGGCACATCCCCGGTAGGGGACGTGCAGGAGGCAGCTGGTCGATGATTCTCTCTCATCGATGTTTCTAGCTATCTATCCCTCTCACTTCCTCTCTGTGAAAAATCAATAATATATATATATAAACCCTTTGTTGCAAACTTAGGACTGTCCCTATTAACTTTCTTTTATGTAAGTAATTTGTAAAAGTTTCGGAAAAAACTTGCTTTTGCTCATTTAATTTTGAATAAAAGCTAAATTCATAACAAAAAAAACCAAAACAAACAAAAAACCCAACCCCTGGTCCCCGCCGGCTGCCACTCACGTGCTGTTCTCACCCACCTCCACCTCCTCCTCCAGCCCCGCAGCCGGTCGGTCCGGCAGGTCCCTCGCAGGCCCCTGCCTCCCTGCCCCGCGCCCTTCCTGGGCCGGGCACACAGTCCCTCTGGCCCGCGGAGAGGGGCTGGGAGGCCCAGGAGGGGCGGGCTGCGGGCGGGAGCCAGTGCCGGGGAGCAGGGCGGCCTAGGGCTGGGCCTGGACAAAGGTTCTTGGGCTCAGAGTCCCTCCTCGCCCGGGAGGAAGTTGTTCTGGTGAAGAGGTGCTCCAAGCAGGCGCGGCCCTCGGACACTCCCGGCAGGTGCAGGCCGAGGCAGCGGGAGGCCCAGGGACGAGGGCTCCCAGGGACGGGCCAGCCCTTGGGTGCTCCCGCAAGAGGCCCCTCTCCAGGCGGCCGGGCACCCAACACGCCAGAGACGGAGCCCTGGACGGCGGCCCCACAGGCCAGGCCTGGCCACCCAGGGCCCGCTCCCAGCCCGGCTTTGTCCCTGCAAGTCCTCACTGCCCACCCCACACAACGGGAGCTGCAAGTCGCTTCCGGTCCCATTCAGGCCCCCGAGTCGCCGCCGGAACCCCGAGCTGTCCCGCTGGTGCCTGGCCCCTTGGCGAGGGGGATGCAGGCCCCAGTGGGACCTGAGCCCCGAGCCTGTCTGGTCACGGCCGGGCTGGGAGGCGACGCCCTGGGGAGAAGCTGCCAGCTCCTCCCAGGACGAGGCTGGGCAGGAGGGGGGCCCCAGCCCCTGAGGCCCCCCCTCAGAGGGCCGTGTGGCCGGGGGCCCGGGGCCTGGGTAGGGGCTGCGGCTCAGAGCCGCCCTGTGGGCTGGGCTGCAGGGGTGGGGCCTCCCCGGGAGGAGCCAGGAGCTCCCTCTCCATCCAGACAAGGAGCCAAACAGAAAGTAACAATCCGACTTTTATCCGCTTCTGGCAACAAGGCACAGCAGGGGGCAGTGCGGCGCAGGTGTCCTCCGGAGGGGGGCGCCCACAAAGGCTCCTGTCTCCCGGCCCGGCCCGGAGCGCTGCGACGAGGGCTGAGGGCTGAGGCAGCGCGGAGCGGCCTCTTCAGGCCCCGGGAAGGGGTCTGGCTGAGAGGGACCTGCCCGCGCGCGGGCCCCCGGCACATGGCCTCCAGCCGGAGACCCCAGAGCCTGGCTGGTTGGGCCCAGCCCTCGCCCGGAGCCGAGACGCCCCACTGGCAGAGCCCGGGGCAGGGAGGGCCTTCCCCCAGGAACCCGCAGGGAAACCTCGGGGACCCACCCTGGCCCCTGGCCTGGAGCCGCTCCCCAGGGCCCAGCTACAGGGAGTCACCGGAGGCAGGAGGGGCAGGCTTCATCCCACAGCCACCCCCTGGGCCAGGGGTCGAGGGTCACCGAGAGGCGAGGTCGCAGGACACCAGTCCGTGTCCGGGTAGAGGAGGCAGTGGACGGACTTAAACCTGAGAAAGGGGACGTGGAGTCAGGCCCAGAGCGCCTGCTCACGGCCCACGTGCCCCTCGAGCCCCCTCGAACCCCATACCGCGTGGGGTCCTGCTGCAGGCTGAAGCCTCCGGCCACGCTCACCACGTTCCGTGGGTTCTCAGGGCCCCCGTAGCTCAAGGTCACCTGGGGGGGGAGGGGCTTACGCTCCGCCCACCCCTCCAGCCCCGCCCCCTCTGGGTCCGGGCGGGAGGGCGGATGGAGGACTGGTCTGAAGGGTGATGGAGCAGCGGGGCCGGAGGACAGCTGTGCCCCTGCCCCAAGCCACTCACTGTCCCGGGACCTGGCCTGGGACCCCCGTCCCCACGGCCCGGACCGTCACCGGGTCAGCAATGGTCGCCCCGGGAATCCGGTCCCCCCACACCTGGACCCCCGGCCGCTCCAGATCCCCCGTCCTTGCTCCTGGGACAGCTCTGCCAGGCCCTCCTGCCCCGCCCGGGCCCGGCCCCACCTGCCGGAGCACCGCCTGGGGTGGCAGCCTGCGCAGGTCCTCCAGGTGCGAGTGGAACAGCGGGCTGTGCTGCAGGCGGGCGCCCAGCAGCCCCTCCACGATGTAGCCCACCGTGCAGTCGTCCGGCAGCCGCACCCGCTCCGCCGTGCTCATGAAGCTGCCCAGGCTGGGGGGAGGGGGGAGAGGGGCGGGAGATGGGATGGGGAGGGGGGGTCAGGGAGAGTGGTGGCGGGAGGGGGCACAGGAGAGGGGGGTCAGGGAGAGGGGGCGGGGGAGAGGGGGCCCCTCACCTGGCCCATGGGCTCATCTTGAGGGCAAGGCCTCTGCTGAGGCAGAAGCCAGCCCCGCCGGTCGCGAACCAGAACTTGACCGTGGTCACCTGGGGGGAGGGAACTGCCCATCAGAGCGAGTGTCCCCCTGACTCTGCCCGACACCCGGGCCACCAGAAGCCGCTCCCTCACAGCTCCTGGTCCGGGCAGCGGGCTCCCGGCAGGGGGCAGGGCTGAGGCCGCCCAGCGCCTCGCACCGGCGTCCTGGCGGGCTGCTCCGGGCAGGTCCCCCCTCTGCTCCGGGCAGGTCCCCCTGGGCAGGTCCCCCCCGGCTGCCCGCTCCGGGCAGGTCCCCCTGGGCAGGTCCCCCCCGGCTGCCCGCTCCGGGCAGGTCCCCCTGGGCAGGTCCCCCCCGGCTGCCCGCTCCGGGCAGGTCCCCCTGGCAGGTCCCCCCCCGGCTGCCCGCTCCGGGCAGGTCCCCCCCGGCTGCCCGCTCCGGGCAGGTCCCCCTGGCAGGTCCCCCCCGGCTGCCTTCTCCGGACAGGTCCCCCCTCTGCTCCGGGCAGGTCCCCCTGGGCAGGTCCCCCCTGGCTGCCCGCCCGCCCGCCCGCCCCGGCTCACTGTGCTGCCGCCGTGGCCCCGCTCCGTGGCCTCGATGGGGTGGTCCAGGCTGGGCCGCCCCAGGTAGACGTCCTGGCTGGGCGAGAAGGAGGACAGCAGCTGCATCAGGCCTTCGGGGTTCACGTAGTTGTCGTCGTCCACGTGGCAGAACCACCTGGGGGGGGCAGTCTCAGCGGGCGCGGGAGGGCCCGGCTCCCACGGGTGAGCACCGGGAGGGCCCGGCTCCCACGGGAGGGCCCGCTCCCACGGGTGAGCACCGGGAGGGCCCGGCTCCCACGGGAGGGCCCGCTCCCCACGGCGGCCCCACGCACTTGCGCCCGGACGCGATGAACTGGTCATACTCCACCGCCATCTTGCAGCACAGCGCCTGGCGGGTGTGCGCGGCCGAGCAGTTGGTGTTGACCACGTGGCTGCCTGGTGGGGGAACGGAGGGTGAGGGCAGAGCCGGGCTCCACGAGGGCAGCGTGGCTCAGGGGCTGAGCATCCACCTAGGAACCAGGAGGTCAGGGTTCGATTCCCCGATTCCCAGTCAGGGCACGGGCCTGGGTTGTGGGCTCCATCTCCGGGGAAGGGGGGGGGTGCAGGAGGCAGCTGATCCATGATTCTCTATCATCGTGGATGTTTCTAGCTCTCTTCCTCTCCCTCTCCGAAGCCAATGAAAAAGTCTTTTTAGAAAAGTGGCTGTGGCAGGTTTAGTGTCTTGCTCTGCAGTGGGTCCACCCACAGCCCTGGTGGGGCCTCACTGGCTGACCCGCTGCTGGCCTCTGCCCCCCCCCCCCCCCCGGAAATGGCCTGAGCTGGGACTGCTCTGACGGGTGGGAGACTGGGAGTGGGGCTGGGAGCCAGTGGTGGCCCCGGAGCTGTGTCCCCGGAGCCATGTCCCCGGAGCCATGTCCCCGGGGCGGTGTCCCCGGGGCCGTGTCCCCGGAGCCGTGTCCCCGGAGCCGTGTCCCCGGAGCCGTGTCCCCGGAGCCATGTCCCCGGGGCGGTGTCCCCGGGGCCGTGTCCCCGGAGCCGTGTCCCCGGAGCGGTGTCCCCGGACCGGTGGCCCCGGGAGGCGGTGTCCCCGGAGCCGTGTCCCCGGAGCGGTGTCCCCGGGGCTGTGTCCCCCGGGCCGTGTCCCCGGGGCCGTGTCCCCGGAGCCGTGTCCCCGGGGCCGTGTCCCCGGGGCCGTGTCCCCGGAGCCGTGTCCCCGGGGCCGTGTCCCCGGAGCCGTGTCCCCGGGGCCGTGTCCCCGGAGCCGTGTCCCCGGGGCCGTGTCCCCGGAGCCGTGTCCCCGGAGCCGTGTCCCCGGAGCGGTGTCCCCGGAGGCGGTGTCCCCGGATGTGGTGGCCCCGGAGCGGTGTCCCCGGAGCGGTGTCCCCGGGGCCGTGTCCCCGGAGCCGTGTCCCCGGAGCGGTGGCCCCGGAGGCGGTGGCCCCGGAGCGGTGGCCCGGGAGGAAGGGCGGGCTGGGAGGGCGGGATCTGCCTCCCGCCAGGCAGTGACCCTGAGCAGGTGACACCCCGCTGGGGTGCGAGACTCACCCGCCTGGAGCTGCAGGTCCGGGTCGTCCCCATCGGTGAAGATGAAGGTCTGCGGGGAGCGGGGAGACCAGCTGTGAGGGGCGTGGTGCGGGGGAGCGGGCCGGGGTCCGCCGGGGGCACCCCAGGTCCGGGGCCGGAGGGGGGCGGGGTCCCGGCCCGGCGGGCGCACCTGCGGGCGGGCGCGGGAGATCCAGGTGCGCAGCAGCAGCCGCAGGCGCGGCCCGTGGTTCCGGCGCGTCGTCTTGACGGCGATGAAGACGTCCTCGGGCCGCAGGCGGCGCGCGGGGCCGGCGGCGGGCGCGGCCGCGGAGGCGCGGGCCGGGGCGGGCGCGCGGGGCAGCGGCAGCGGCAGCAGCAGCAGCGCGGCCAGGGCGGCGGCCAGCGCGAGGCAGGCCCGGCACAGCGCCCCCCGCGCGCGGCTCATGCGGCCCGACCGCCGCAGCGCCCGGCCCGGCGCGCCGCGGCCCCTTTAAGGCCGCCCCGCCCTCGCCGCGACCCGGAAGCGGAGGCCGCGCTGCCCCGGAAGCGGACGGCGCGCGGCGGCGGGGTGGGCGAAGATGCCGCTGCCGGTTCAGGTGTTTAACTTACAGGTAACGGGCCGCGGCCGGCGGCCCCTCGCGCCCCCGCCGCCGGGCCGGAGCCGAGGCCCAGGCCGAGGCCGGCCGAGCGGCCCGCGTGTCCGCCAGCCCCGCGGTCCGGGCCCAGCGTCGGCCGGCGGCCCGCGCCAGCGCTCCCGCAGCAGCTCTGTCCGGGCGGGGGGTGCGGTGCAGGCAGCTGAGCGCCAGCCTGGCGGCCGCTCGGGATGCTCCGGGTGGAGGTCGCGCGGAGGAGGCCGCGCCAGGATGGTGGCTGGGCCGCCCCGCTCCGAAGGGGGGTGAGCGTCGCCCTGCGAGCGGCCCTCCCGCCGGGCGGTGCGGAGCCGGAGGCGGGAGGCCGGCGGCGTGAGCTCAGGGCACAGGGAGGGACTCCCGCCCGCCCTGGGCAGGCCCGGCCGGGGTAACTGGGCGCCTGTTGCAGGGGGCGGTGGAGCCCATGCAGATCGACGTGGACCCCCAGGAGGACCCGCAGAATGCGCCCGATGTCAACTACGTGGTGGAGAACCCCACCCTGGTAGGAGCCCTCCCGCGGTGTCCGTGCTGCTGGGTCCGGGCGGGTGCCCGTGGGACCTTCCACCCCAACCTCCTGGGCTCCTGCACGGGCCCTGCGTGCCTCTCAGACGCCGGGAAGGGGGAGGGCGGGCATTGGGGCCACTGCCCCTGACGGCCGCCCCCCGCCCCTTGCCCAGGACCTGGAGCAGTATGCCGCCAGCTACAGCGGCCTAATGCGCATCGAGCGGCTGCAGTTCATTGCTGACCACTGCCCCCCGCTGCGGGTGGAGGCCCTGAAGATGGCCCTGTCCTTCGTGCAGAGGACCTTCAACGTGGACGTGTACGAGGAGATCCACCGCAAGCTCTCGGAGGCCACCAGGTGAGGCCGGCCGCCCAGGGCCTGCCAGGGGTGCCGTGCTGGCTGCGCCGGCCAGCCCCGCCCCGCGGGGTCCCTGCAGACCGTCCTGACGCCAGCTGCTCCGGCTCCGCGCCCACGGCCACAGCACTTCTCCCGTGGGTCTCCCCCCGCTGTCCGTGTTCCCTGCCCGCTGGGCGCTGCACGGGGGCTCTGGCCGGGCAGGGCTTCCTGGGAGGCGCCCTCCTGCTGGCACCTCACCCTGCTGGGCGCCCTCCCTCAGGGACCTGCAGAGCACGCCGGACGCCATCCCTGAGAGCGGCGTGGAGCCCCCGCCCCTGGACACGGCCTGGGTGGAGGCCACGCGGAAGAAGGCCCTGCTGAAGCTGGAGAAGCTGGACACGGACCTGAAGAACTACAAGGGCAACTCCATCAAGGAGAGCATCAGGTGCCCCGCAGGACGGGGAGGGGACGGGGAGGGGGGAGAGGGGTGGCGGGGCGCCAGGGCCACACCGGCTGTGGGCACTCACAGCCCGCCCGCAGGCGCGGCCACGATGACCTGGGCGACCACTACCTCGACTGCGGGGACCTCAGCAACGCCCTCAAGTGTTACTCCCGGGCCCGGGACTACTGCACCAGCGCCAAGCACGTCATCAACATGTGCCTCAACGTCATCAAGGTGCGTGGGCGGGCGGGGGGGGGGGGTGCCCGGGGGGGCCGGGCCCAGGCTGAGTCCCCCCTGCCTTCCAGGTCAGCGTCTACCTGCAGAATTGGTCTCACGTGCTGAGCTACGTCAGCAAGGCCGAGTCCACTCCTGAGATTGCGGAGGTAACCGGCCTCGCCCCCCTCCCACCACTGCCGCCGTGGGCTGGGGGTCGGCCTGGCCGAGGGGAGGGTGTGGAGGGCACGAGTGGCTCACGTGTGCCGCCTCCTCCTGCAGCAACGAGGGGAGCGCGACAGCCAGACCCAGGCCATCCTCACCAAGCTCAAGTGTGCTGCAGGTGAGGTGGACCCGGCCAGGCCGGCACCCCCACCCTCCCCGCAGTCCCCGCGCTGTGCTCGGCCCTCACAGCTCGGCAACCCTTGGGCGCTCCCTCCCCTTTAGGGGCCCAGGCCAGTGTGACCAGCGGTCAGCGGTGCAGGCATCGCCTCTGACGGCTGCTGTCAGGGCCGGTCCCCACCCGAGTCCCCTGCAGCCGTGTGGCTTCTGGGCGCCCTGAGGGCCGTGGCAGGGCCCTGAGGGTGTTCTCGGCAGCCCCTCCCTCTGTGGCAGAGCTGTCCCTGAGGCCTCAGGCTGCCTCCCGCCCTCCCCACCAGGGCTGGCCGAGCTGGCCGCGCGCAAGTACAAGCAGGCGGCCAAGTGCTTCCTGCTGGCCTCCTTCGACCACTGCGACTTCCCCGAGGTGAGGGCGCCGCGGGCCTCGCGGGCGTGGGAGAGGCTCGTGGTTGGGGGTCTCCCAGCGGCATTCGGGGGGTCCACCTGGCTTGCGTCCGACGGCACTGTCCGTCTCTCCCCAGCTGCTGTCCCCCAGCAACGTGGCCGTGTACGGCGGCCTCTGCGCCTTGGCCACCTTCGACCGGCAGGAGCTGCAGCGCAACGTCATCTCCAGCAGGTGGGGCTGCGGGCCCGTGCCCTTGGCCGCCACCCTCGGGTGCAAGTAGAGGGCGGGGGGCGGGGGGCGGGGGGGGGCACAGGGCAGCCCTGAGGAGTGTGGACCCTGCAGCTCCTTCAAGCTGTTCCTGGAGCTGGAGCCCCAGGTCCGCGACATCATCTTCAAGTTCTACGAGTCCAAGTACGCCTCCTGCCTGAAGATGCTGGATGAGATGAAGGTGAGGCTGTGGGGTGTATGTGTGTGCGCATGCACGTGTTTGCACGCATGTGTGTGTGTGTGTGTGTGTGCGCGTGTGTGTGTGTGGAGCTGGAGCCGCAGCGCCTGACCGCTTTCTTGTCAGGACAACCTGCTCCTGGACATGTACCTGGCCCCCCACGTGCGGACCCTGTACACCCAGATCCGCAACCGCGCCCTCATCCAGGTAGGTGGGGAAGGGGGGCGCCCTCATCCAGGTAGGTGGGGGAGGGGGCGCCCTCATCCAGGTAGGTGGGGGAGGGGGCGCCCGGGCCTGTGGTCACCGGAGGCGGGCAGTGACGCCACCTGCTCTGCAGTATTTCAGCCCCTACGTGTCTGCCGACATGCGCCGGATGGCCACTGCCTTCAACACCACGGTGGCCGCCCTGGAGGACGAGCTGACGCAGCTCATCCTGGAGGGGCTCATCAACGCCCGCATTGACTCCCACAGCAAGGTGCCTCCCCCCCGGCGGGCGTCCCCGGGGAGCTGGTCCCGTGAGGTGGCCCTGCGGGAAGGTGCGTGTGGAGCGGGTGGGGCGGGGTCTGGCCCGCTGACCGCGCGGCCCTGCAGATCCTGTACGCCCGCGACGTGGACCAGCGCAGCACCACCTTCGAGAAGTCCCTGCTCATGGGCAAGGAGTTCCAGCGCCGCGCCAAGGCCATGATCCTGCGGGCGGCCGTGCTGCGCAACCAGATCCACGTCAAGGTGAGGGAGGGCCTGGTGGGCGGGCGGCTCGGCCGGGCACACACGGGGCCAACGGCCTGTCTCCCACAGTCCCCTCCGCGGGAAGGGAGCCAGGGGGAGCTGACGCCGGCCAACAGCCAGTCCCGGATGAGCACCAACATGTGAGCGGCCGCCCGCCCTGCCCCGGCGCCGACACCTGCCCCCGCCCCCGCCCCCCGCCCCCGGCCCGGACGCCTGTGTGACCCCCGCCGCCCCGAGGAGGGGGCTGAGGCAAGGCCTCGGCCTCCTGCTCTCACACGTGGGGCGAGATCGTTGTGAACCTTAGTCCATTAAAGCGCCTCCTCTGACTGTTCTGCGTCGGCTTTTGGGGTTGGGCTGGGGGGGGGGGGGGGCGGGGCGGTCCTAGGCCTTGTTCCCTGGCTCCTCGCATCCCGGCAGCAGAGGGCCAGCCTGTGTCCACCTCCCGGAGGGCCTGGTCTAGGGCGGCCTCTGGCTGACGAGGCAGGAGGTTCTGCCGCTTCCCTCGTTTCGAGATCTCCTCCCCCCAGGGGGCCGAGCTCGGGCACAACGGCCAGGTCACTGCAGTCTCCGAAGATTTATTGTTCACTTCGGGGTGTGCATGGCGAGGACAGGCAGGTCCGGCCTGGGATGCTCGCCCGGGCGGCTCAGCCCACGTGGCCGAGGCTGTGGAGGAGCAGGAGGGTCCCTGGGTGGAGGCTCTCCTTAGGGTGGGGGCTTCACACAGTCCTGAGCCGGGCGGGCGGGCGGGCGGTGGCCTCTCGCCCTCAGGCCAGGGCACTGCCCAGCACCTCGGGGAAGCTGCCAGGGTCCCCGGGTCCCGCCTGTGGGGGCTCTTGCAGCTGGGGCTGGGCCTCCTTCCAGGCCAGCGACTTCTCCAGTTTGGTTTTAAAAAGCAGTCCGTGACCTGGAGAGGGTGGGGAGGAAACGGGCTCAGGTTGGGGTCCCCCGCCCAGGGGCCGGGCAGGGTGGGGGGCGGCGCCTCACCTGGGCAGTCCGCGGTCTCTTTGAACGCTCGCTTCTTGCAGCAGCCCCGGCACAGGCTGAACACACACCGGGTGCCCTGGGCACGGGAAAGCTAGTGAGCGAGTGCCGGTGCCGAGCGGGGCCCCCGCGGACGGAGGGTGAGCAGCGGCCACGCTGCCCACGCCCCAGGCCGAGCCCCGGGCAGCACCGCAGAGGGCAGCTCACCTTGGGGTTCCCACACTGGTCGCACTTTGCGTATTTTGCTGGGAAAAGAGCACAAGGGGGTCCTGGTGAGCCAGGTGAGCAGCCCCCACTTCCCACCCCGGTCCCCACGCAAAGCTCGTGGGTCTCCCTGCTCGCTGTGGCCGCCGACATGCAGACTTGGTGCCTAGAACCCCAGGCCCCGTCCTCCCCGAGGGCTCAGGTGCTGCGGCCATGGCTGGTCTCCCGGGCCCTCAGGAAGGC